CGCTTAACCACTGAGCCATGTCCCCAGCCCTATTTTGTATTTTATTTAGAGACAGGGTCTCGCTGAGTTGCTTAGCGCCTCACTGTTGCTGGGGCTGGCTTTGAACTCGCGATCCTCCTGCCTCAGCCTCCCCAGCCAGCTTTAAGCTTTTTTTGACCGTTACCTTTTTCACTGTGACCTTTCCACAGAGAAAAGTCCATGCATTTTACATAATTCTATAGTTAGTCATTAGAATGAGGAGTGGGGAGGAAACAAAGTTATGCTCACAAAACGAAAAGAAGAAAGGAAGGAGGGAAAGCTTCTATCTCGGGGTGCGGCCTGGCTAAGCTGAGAGCTGCTGGGTGAGCGGGGACTGGGCAGGAGAAGCACGGTCTTTCCAGGAACCGAGAGGGAAGCAATATTTTGCAATACAGAAAAGACAGGCAGGGTGGCATGAGGTGAGGCAGGGACCACGCCCCATCTGGCCTGCAGTGGCTGTGTTGAGGGCATCTGTTGGGAAGGGGGAGTCATCAGTGGGCCCCTGTAGCGGTGGAGGTGCAGAGCCCGCCGGCAGTTCTCTCTGGGCACTTTTGCACTCAGTGAATGTCTAACAGGATTGGTTTTTCTTGTTCTTCAGGGACTATTTGAGGAAGTGGTCAGCTAAAGGAATCCAGGTCGTTGGTTGGACTGTCAATACCTTTGATGAAAAAAATTACTACGAATCCCACCTTGGTTCCAGCTACATCACTGACAGCATGTTGGAAGACTGTCCCCCGCAGGTCTAGACTTTTATCCTGGGGACACACAGGTTCAGAAACTGCCTGTCGGCCTCATGCAGGGAGATCTAAATACCCTTTGTGCTAGCCCAAGCCCCGGGGGATCAGGTGGCCAAGCAACAGGGCAAGCAATAGTGGGTGATTACATATTAAATTAAACCCTGGTGTTGCCATGCTCCATGGAATGCCCAAGTTCAACACTGTCGCTCTTGAAAATCTGGATCTGAAAAAAGGCACAGCAGCCCCGCCCCGACCCAGCTGAGGCCCACACCCAGACCCAGTCAGGATAAGCACAAGACTAGCTGTGCGGTCGGGATTCAGACGTAGTGCATGGGACTTGCATGATCACTTGGAGTTGACATTTTAAAACTTGCCACATCTAAGTAATTTACTTACTTGAAATATTTGTATTCAGCTCTGTTAACAGTGTGCTATAGATGTCAAACTTGTGACCATACTAATAAAGTCATTAAAAGGAGCACAAGAGGAAAACTGTGTAGCCAGCATCACATTCTGAGGCCCTAAGGAACTTGGGGAAGCCACTCAGGTGAGGCTTCAGTGTGCAGCAGCCACAGGGAGAGAAGCCTTGGAACCAACGGGAGGAATCTGACAGCATCTTGAATGAGAGCTGCAAACCACCAGGGGGCAGAGGTGCGCTGTGGAGGTGCAGGAGGCAGCTCCCAGGAACCTCTAGGCTTATCCGTATTTTACAAATGAAAATACCAAAATTTGTGCACAAGGTGGGCAGCCTCAGAACCTCACAGCTGGTGATGTAGCCAAGCTCCATCTCATGATAACCAAAATTTCTTGTCTATTATAGGCCAGGAACAGTGCCAGGGTTTTAACATGCCTGACATTGAACCCTTACAAAGATTATAGATAGAAGTGTTATTATTCTCATTTTACTGATGAGGAAACTGAGGCACTTTCCCAAGGTCTCCGAGTCCACAGTTCAGTTGGGGGTTCAAATCCAGGGAGGTCTGACTCTAGGTCACAGCTCTTTTCCACAAGAATATCCAGGGATTTGAATAAACAATGAAGACATTAATAAGTACTGCTAAACACTTCCTTGGCAGGCTTAATACAGAGTTTAAAAATAATAGAATTTATGATCAGAGAAAGCCAAGTCTGATGTGGGGTAGTATGTAGAGTACCTCCTCATGATTAAATGAGTACATGTAAATGCTTGTTAATTACCACTGACTGCCTACCATGTATTGGATCTGTTTCAAGTGTTTCCTGTGTATTTGACCTGTAGGTATCATTATAATCACATTTCACAGTAAAAGAAACCAGAGCACAGGGAAGTTCAGTAACTTGCCTAAAGTCACAGAAAGCAGTGATGAATATCAGGACTCAAACCCAGATGATCTAATTCCAGAAATCACTTTTTTTTTGAGACAGGGTCTAAGTTGCTTAGGGTCTCACAAAGTTGCTGAGGTTGGCTTTGAACTTGTGATCCTCTTGTCTCAGCCTCCCAAATGGCTGGGGTTATGGGCATGTGCCACTGGCCAGAGCTCACATTCTTGCCCCTTGTTTATTATCATTTCTGGCTCATAGCAGGGACTCAATACTGAGAAATATCTTAAATCATTGCCAGCACCTCTTATAGGGTCAGTCATATAATAAATGCTCAATAAACGTTTGTTGAAGGAATGCGTTATGGAATATATCCAAGTGGAAGCTTCCTCAGGGAAACTGGGAATAGTTATAGAGTGAGACAAAAATTCAGGGTTGTAGATAAGATTCATGGTTCAGTATAATCAAGGAGGGGCTGGCCAAAAACATGGTAGTATTCTTTCCAAGAGAAAATCAATGCAGGTGGAGCTTACATCCTCTGCTGCTCATTGGACTGCCTGGTAAGCCCCAGAATGCTGCAGAAGTAGCTAACAAAAACAGCAGCTTGTGAAATCTACTGCTTCACTGTACAGTAATCATATTCATATGTGGTGATTGGTGTCTGCAATTTTTTCAGCAAGAATTTGTCCCACACAGATGTATTTTTAATAGATACAAATTTCTCAGTGAAGCTACACCTAACAATTTCCTAAATTGGGAATGGGCTTCAACAAGATGGTAAACCACAGCTTCGAGGACAGGGTGTGGGTTATGGACATGCTCCAAACAACCGCTGAGACCCCTGTTCGCAGAGACTGATGATCACGTCTGGGTGAGGTTATGGGACTTCTTTGGTCAAAGTTACTGAAGACTGGTGACCCCATTTCTTCTACTCAAAATTTAATAGTACAACACTGAATATGAAGAGGTTGGGAATCAGCTGGGATAAAGTATTCACTGTTGGGCGGGGGGTTGTTAGAAATACAAATTCTCAAATCCCAGCTTGTGGCCCGGTGGTTAGTGTTTCAGTAAGCTCCTCCCAGGGTCCCTCAAGTCTGGGAACCATGGAGCTAGAGAAACCCATCCAAGCGAGTCCTCCATTCTGTCACTAACTAGCTGTGAGACCTTAGACACAGCACCTCCCTGTGTGTGTGCCCAAGTTCTCATCTGTCAAATGGTAATCACAGCACTGGCCCGTTGCCTCCTAGCGACAATGTGATGAGGTTCAACCAAAAAGTAATCAGAAGTGTTTTTGGAAAACATGTTGGCAGAACACAACTGCTAGGAAGATAAAGAAAAAAGATGTGCACAACTCAGAGCGAGGTCCTCAGACCCACAGCACTTGTTAGAGATGCAGACTCGGAGCCCATCCCCAACCTCACAGATTAGGATTTACCTGAGAATGAGGTTCCCAAGTTGGAAAACACACGCTGGTGTTTGGGGGGAACCCCGACTCAACATGGGTGTAAGGCATTCATCACTTTTTCTTTTTGATACAGGGGATTTAATCCAGGGGGTGCTTTACCACTGAGCCCCAGCCCTTTTTAAAAAATTATTTATTTATAGACAGGGTATCAATAGATTGTTGAGGCTGGACTTGAACTTGCAATCCCCCTTGCCTCAGCCTCCTGAGTCACTGGGATTATAGGCATGAGCCACTGTGCCAGCTAAGGTGTTAGTCATAATTCAGAACTTTTCTGTCCACACCTGAGCACCTGTCTTTGGTTCTGTCTAGCAGTTGGTCAGATGTAAATGCTATGGAAAATTCCCAACTTTTAAAATTCCTCTTAAATGCTGCCAATACTAAAAGATAGAAAAAAGAATGAAGCTCATTGACAGGCACTAAGGTATCATCCATCTTTTTTTAAGCACTGGCCTTCCTTTTAAAGGAAATGATACAATTTCAAATTGCTTCAAATTGGAACTTCCTCCTCAAAAAGTGGCATAAGAATGTAACATTGATTTGGCATGAGCTTAATTCTTAACGCTTGCCATCAATTCAAAGATTATAAAAACCTATGCAAGTTGTTCACTACTTCAGTCACTCCTCATAATTGAACTTCACACACGATGTCTCATTGCCTCATAAGAAACGAACTGGTTTCACGGCAGCCACTTGAAGGATCAGATCCTGCATAAACTCAAAAGAAGCTCTCCCTATTCATCCTAAAAAACACAGAGGTTCTCTAATTAAATGGCCACAGAAAGCACTGTGATTAGAATCAAGCACCCCCACAAAGTCCCATGTATTGAAGGCTTGGTCTGTAGTTCATGGTGCTATTGGTCCTCCCCCCACCCACCAAAGGGGAGTGGGTACCAGGGATTGAACTCATAAGCACTCCACCACTGAACCCCATCCCCAGGCCTATTTTGTATTTAGAGACAGGATCTCCCTGAGTTGCTTAACGCCTCACCTTGCTGGGTCTGGCTTTGAACTCATGATCCTCCTGCCTCACCCTCCCAAGCCACTGGGATTATAGGCATGAGCTACAGCACCTGGCCCACGGTACTATTGAAAAGTGGAGGTGAGGCCTATGAACCCTTCAGTTTTATTTTTAATTTTTTTAAACATTCTTCTAGTTGATAGATCTTTATTCATTTATACACAGTATGTGCCTCACATATACCAGGCAAGTGCACTAATGCTGAGCCCCAGCCCCAGCCCTGAACCCCTCAGTTTTAAGAACAAAGAGGTTCTCCTTGTCAATCATTTGGCAAATCTACAAAAAAAAAAAAACCCACCATACACAGACACATTCATTTCATATGCACCCTACACCACCACTAATTTCATGATGGGTGCAGCCTAAGATTCTGATGATCATGTGTAAAACCTTAGGGGGCAACTTTTCTCCCCTACCTTCCCTACCCTGGTCTAACCCCAAAGCTCTTGTACTTGATATGAAATAAAGTTTCAGAGATAAGACTTTATTGCACCTTTGGGTCACATGGGGGATGTTTTAATTCTAAATCACCAACAAATGCAAGTTTCACAATTCAGACGCTTTGTATCCCTGATTGAGTATCACGTTTTATTCAATCTGGACCACTTTTCTTAGCACCAGTTTGTAAACCTTTGCCAGGTCCTGGGAACTGTGGGAAGAGAGATTCCTAAGGACCAGTCGTTCAAACAAACAAACAAAAATTCTTGGAGACAAAATGGACTATTCCCAGATTATCTCTAACCATGGTTTTGTGGGGTAATTTCAATATCACAACAGTCTTTACTGGGAAATCCTCGAGTAGGCCACCTTGAAAAATCAGCAGTTGGGTTTCAAAAGTAGCAGAGGCGGCCCAATTTGACTTTGGCATTTACACTGAGGGTCAGTTCCAGTTCCTGCTTAAGGTGTGGCTTCCTCTTCCTAGAGGCCCAGGTATCATGGAAGAAGTGTTCCCCCTTTTATTTTCTTTCTTCATTTGATGGGTGTCTCTTTAGGATGATCGTCACACCTTTCGATTATCTTCTTGAAATGATCGCCTGAATCGCAGGTCTGGGTTGGACACAGGAGACAGTGGTCAGTGCAAACCCACACTGCCCTGTCTCTGTAAGGGAGTGACCAGATGGATCTCAAAGGTCCCACGGCTTCTCAGGCCTCCTTGATCTCCCCTCTTTTACTTTCTGGAATCCTCCCTTGAATTCCCGCCATGCTGTCTCAGTAAACGCTATCCACAAAAGACAAAAGGGTTGGTTTGTCCCCCCCACCCCCAGCATTTGTTCCCCTTCTGACATCACCCCTCCCTCTCTCAGTGCCTGTCATCTCTATGGCTGTACCCACAGCTGCAGCATGTCACTCAGATCTGACCAAGGAAACCGCCACATCTTCAAAGCCACAGCGATCGGCTCATGGATGGGCGCACTGCCCCAGCAGATTCAATGAAATGCCAGGAGAATTCTAGGTCCCCTGCTCTTTCCCACTAGACTGAACCCAAGGAGATACGAGGGGTTGATAAAAAAGGTTTTGCAATTATCAGGAGGAGACTATTTGCAAAACAAACTAACATGGAAAAGAACCCCAGAGAGGAACCAGGTTCTGGTGAAGTTGCAAACTCCCGTCTTAGGACAGACAGAAAACAATTATTCTTGGATTTTTGCTTCAGCCTGTTTGCATCCCATGATCCATGGAGCAATGCTGACCCTCTGCCTGGGACAAGTTAGTGTCTTACTCTCTGACAGTTCCATTGCTTACCAGGAGCAGCAGCAGCCTGTTCCCCCCAATGCAAAGGCACTTGTTGCTGAAAAGAAAGGAAAAAAGGCCACCATGTCACTGGGAAAGAACGTAGGTCCTGGGTCTTGTGGCACAGTTGGTGTGTTTTGTGAACTTCTCATTACTTTAAAACGAAGGACTGGTGATTAAGACCAAGCCTCAGCCACAGAAGTATTGCGTTTTAGGGACAATGATTTCATTCATTCATTCCACAGATATTTACTGAGTGTTTACAATGGGCCGGGTCGTATTAGGACCTAAGGTGACGAGGGTACAAACATGACAGGTGGCCAAGAGGATTCGAGTTGAGCCTCTAGATCCCTTCCCCAAATAATGCTGGCAGTATTAACATGCGACCGATAATAAATTACAGTGTCAAGATCACACCTTCCGGGCTGGGGATGTGGCTCAAGGGGTAGTGCGCTTGCCTAGCATGCGTGAGGCACTGGGTTCGATTCTCAGCACCACATAAAAATAAAATAAAGATATTGTGACCACCTAAAACTAAAAAATAAATATTAAAAAAAAAGGTCACACTTTCCATTTGAATTGAGGTGGATTTCCTATTTATCTGTATTTTCCAGGGCACCAAGGAAGCAGGCAGAGGCTTTGGAATTGGAGCAGGGCTTTCTGCCCTCTTTATACCCTCTTGGCAGGACTAAAGTCAGCAGAATCTTTTTAAGAGGGTGATACAGCAATATCTCTTAGCATTATTACATGCATGACCTGTGGCAGCAATTCTCGCCTAAGATAATTCTAACAAAAAGTGCTTCATTACACACTATTTTAAGTATTAAAAAAAAAAAAAACACCTGGAAATAAATGAAATGGCTAAATAGGTACACAATAAAATAATATTCAAGATACAGTGTTAGGTGTATATCGTGGTAGAGTTATGATACTATTTATATAATATGGCCCCACTTTTGTAATAAAGTGTCAGTAGATAGAGGCGTGATTGCCTGTGCCCAGGGAAAGAAGATCTGGAAGAATATACGCTGAAGCATTAATGGTGGGATGAGATGTCAGGGTACTTTTCATCTCAGCAGGATATACCTCTGCATCAGCGGGTTTTAGAGAACAAATGTGAGCTCTGTGAGGACAGGGGCTTTGTTTTGTTCTCAATAATCCAGCATCTAGAACAAGCCAACCATGGAATATGTTAAATCATCAACTGATTTTTTTTTTTTTGTACTAGAGATTGAACCCAAAGATGCTTTACCACGGAGCCCCATCCCCAGCCCTTTTTATTTGTTATTTTGAGATAGGGTCTTCCTGAGTTACTCAGGGCCTCATTAAGTTGCTGAGGCTGGCTTTGAACTTGTGATCCTCCTGACTCAGCCTCCTGAGTTGCTGGGATCACAGGAGTGTGCCAGTGTACCTGATATCAATTGATTTTTTTTTTAATTGAAAAACCACAGAAATTCTTAAACATAGAAAGTGAAGAGCCCTTATGTGACCCCAACAGCTTGGTCTCTAGTTCCCAGATGCACTTTTCACAAAGGGCTAGTCTGCATCCCTGAGCTCCCAGGGCAGCCTCTGGCCTCACCTCCACCTCCCTCCTTTCCAGGATCAGTGTGCTGGGGTTCGCTCTCTTCTCCATATCCTGTAGCTTGATCAACTTCTCTATCAGGAACATCTTATCTTTGCCCTCCTGCCAAGAAGGAAAAGAAAAACAAAAATCAAACCATGGGTGAATGAATGATGGTGTAGTATTAAGGAAAAATTGGTTAAAAGAAGGTACCAAAAGTGGGATGGAGACTGTTTTCATATTTTCTTTTGATGAAAAGAGAAGAAGCATTTCACAGCAAGGCCAGTGACCCCCTACCCGGACCCCCAGAGCCCTCCTGCATTGTAAGAGGCTCCTCCAAAGCAATTCCCCTACCAGGCTTGGGCAAGACCCTCCTCTAGCCTAGAACTAGAAGTAACTGAAGGTTTCAGTATTGACACAGTCAGGATCCCCTGGATTAAGATAATACCTCTCAGGGGAAAAAGACAGCCAAGTGAGCTCTGAGTCTTATGTGGGTTTCTCAGCCAGGCCAGAAAATCAGGAGTTAGAAGATCAAGTAGACTTCAAGACTAGGAGAGTGAGATAACCCACCAGGAGATGGGAAGCTGGGAAAGTGAGCTCAGCCTTCTGAGACTCTGGTCAGCAGAAATGCCGGCTACCATCAAACAAGGTGGGGCTACCCTATTCTGAAAATGGCAATATTAGAAACTTTCCCAGAAGATAAGGGGAATTGGGATTGGGGCAAACGCAGGTGTAGAATAGTCCCTGAAGTCACCTGTACCTTATTCACATGGTAAAAAGCACACCCCTAGGTGGAGCTAGGAGAGTCATGAGACAGGTGTTCCATGAAGAAGGGCACAGGTGAACTGAAGTCCCACCTCTGCGTATGTGATGACATCAAGAGGCTGAGTCTTTCCCACCCCACAGTTGCCATGGAACTGTACACCTTTGATCTTTGCTTGAGCCGGCTGGACTCTCTCGGATTATGCTGTGTCTTACTTCTGGCCCTAAATAAAGCCTTGCCTGTGCCTAAATTCTGTCTGGGTCCATGGTTGGTGTCTATGACTCTGGATCCAAGAACCTCCATTTGTAACGGTGTCCCCCTTCTTGGCACACTCCTGCCCCAGAGCCTATTCTACAACCTGGTACTGCCTGGCCGTGTCCTGTATTCCTGCTGAGATGCCAGACCTCAGGGCTCTGTCCCAAAGGCTGTCCAGTGGGTTTACTTGGTCCACTTGATCTCTGTGTTGATGGAGATGAACAATTCAAAATTGGACAGAGGAACTAAAGAAGGGAACACGTCTTCTCCTTGGAGAGAGTAATCACTTCCTTGAAAATCCCTACAGCAGGAAATATGTAGAATATTCCACCTGTGTATTATTTGCTTCAAAGCTATTTTCTACATCTCTTATTCCTCTTCTATTAATTAATTCAGATTCTTCTGTAAGGAAAAAAATGTCCTTGGGAATTTTTAACAAGTCCTCCAGGTGTCTTGGATGTAGCCAACGTGTTTAGAAATCTCTGGCCTGTAGCAGCTGTCTCCACTCTCTAGGATGAATTAGAGTTACCTAAGAGTGTGCAAAAATGCAAACTCCTAGGCTTTCCCCGATCAATTTTTATTCAGAGAGGTAAACAATATTGTGTTTAAGAACACAAACTTTGGAGTTTTCTGTTCCTCCAGGTAGTAACCCTACAATTAAGGATGAATCAATGCAATCTGTAGGCCTTGGTTTCCCTAATTTAAAATGGGGAGTTTAAAGAAACACATGTGCCCTAGTTAGGATTCAAATATATATATATATATATATATATATATATATATATATATATATATATATATATATTGTTCATCAATTAAAACAATGCCAGGCATCATGTAAGTGCTCAGTAAATGTTACGTGTTGCCTGAATTGGTATCATTAGGGAAGTATCGGGAATTTGTATTTCTAACATTTTATGCCAGTGGTCATTCTTTGAGAAGGATTGTTGCAAAGTCTATTCCCAAGCCTTTGACTGGGTTCTTCTGGAGATGATGTCCCTGCCTTTGGGGTCCATCCTCTGGGTGAGACTCCCAAGTAGGAAGGTCTGTAGTGATGCTCATGCTGCCTTCAAATGACATCATCCAAACCTCTCCCCGGTTTACCTGGCACTGCCCTTACAAACCCAAGGCTTTAGAATCAAATCCTTCCTGTGTTGAGATCTGCATAAGACTTGCCCAAAACATTCAGAGGTCTGCATCAGAGGAGCATTGGTAAAGCTTCTGGGGGTGAGGAAAAAGAGCATTACTAACCCATGCCCTTCCTTTACCTTCTGAAAGAATAAACTCAAATTATCTGAAACCCCACAGATAAGTAGATAAGACACTGGGAGTCCTATTTCTTTCCCAAATGTCTAGATACAAGATCTCATATCACAGCCATGTTAGTACTTAGAAGGATAGAAAATCAGCCCAGGATCAATAAGCACCCCCGTGCCTAGACAATGGTCTCTAACTACCATTTCACAAAGACTCTTTGAAGGAACAGCTGCTTCCTCTTCTGTAACAGGAAATGAACCAAGATGAACCTAGAACATCTGTTTCTTTTGGAGAGTAAGGATCCTATCAAATACTTCTGGTGTCATGTCAAAAGAACCCAGAAGTTAATTCAATTCTTTAGGTTTTTTTCTAGCAAATGAGACTCTTTGAGCATAAAAATGACTGCTATTTTGGGGTTGTGGCTCAGCAGTAGAGCGCTTGCCTAGCACGTGCAAGGCCCTGGGTTCGATCCTCAGCACCACATAAAAATAAATAAATAAAATAAAGGTATTGTGCCTAACTACAATTGAAAAATAAATATTAAAAAGAAAAATGAGCCCTAAGTTTTAAAAAATGACTGTGATTTAAAGATATCAACATATACTTAAACTTTACATTCATAGTGATAATTTTAAAATCCCCATAGGCTGTATTTGGAAGTTGTTAGGTGTAATGGATTGAATAGTGTGTCCCCCTTTTAAAAAGATATGTTCAAGTTCAAATGCCAGGATCTGTGAATATGACCTTAGGTGGGAATAAGGTCTTTGTAGATGCAATTAAATTAAGGATTGTGGGATGAGATCAGCCTGAATTAGAATAGACCCTAAACCCAATGAGAAGTCCTTAGAAAAGAAGAGAAGAAGAAATCGAGAAAAAGTCCTTGTAAAGATGGAGACAGAGATTGGCATTATGAAACCCCAAGCCAAGGAACACCAAGGGTGACCAGCAGTGACCAAAAGTAAGACAGAGGCATGGATCAGATTCTCCTTCACAGACTCAGAAGGAACCAGGAACCCTGTCAACTTTTTAATTTTGAACTTCTGACTTGATGATAAATTTCTGAGATAATAAATCTCTGTTGTTTCAAGTCACCAAATTGGTGGTATTTGTTACAGCAGCTCTAACCAACTAATACCCAAGGATGTGGACTCAACATTATGAAAATGTAAATAAAGGAAACAAATCATGCATTTACACTGACTTTCCTCTAGGTGCTGCATTTCAAGGTAATTATCGCTCTTAACATCACAGAAATTAGACAGTTAGACATTATCTATCTGAAGGGGATGTCACAGAGGGGCACAGCACCACCCATGACGTACAGAGGGTCCCCAAGAAGATGTTGACTTGTGATTTTCCAACTTTACTACAGTGTGAAAATCATGCACATTCAGTAGAATCTGTACTTCAGAGTTGGAGTTTTGCTCTTTTCCAGGCTAGTGAGATTTGGTTTGATACTCTCTTGTGATGCTGGGCAGTGGCATCCAGCAGTGGCTCCCAGTCAGTCACCGGCTCACAAAGGAAACAGCAGATACGCTACGGTGAACAGCGTTGCTCGTCTATGATGCAAAAAGAGCCTGGAAGGAACCGTGGGGAAGCTTGACATTGGGTATCAGATGATCACAGTCAATTCTTGGTAAGTTTTCTTTTAGGTGCAATGAGGATATATTGTGGGTATGTTTTTAAAGTCTTTATCTCAAAGAGATGCATATAAAATTTTAAACAGATAAAAAAAATAATGCCAGGCCTAAGATTTGCTTTAAAATAATGCAGAGATTTGCAGGGAAGATGTAGTGTAGATACAATGAGAGTTTCGAAGGGTTGACTGATGGTTGCCGGGGCTGGATGGTGGGCTTATGGGGGTTCATTGTACTATTTTCTGTCTCTGTTTTGGAGTATGTTTGGAAATGTCTACTATAAAGGGTTTTAAAGGAGAAGGATAACACAGGACCCAGTGAGACTTACATTAATGATCTGTTCATGGAGAAGCCTGATCATAATCTTCCTTCCCTCTGTGATCTGCCAGTAAAGATAGGTGATGATTCTGGAAGAGAAGAAGGGACAGGGTGACAGTTGCAGGCTCCAAATGCCAACTGGGTACAAGGGGACTGGAATATTTGCTTGCAAATGGGTTTTGACTCCACTATGTTCCTGAAAGTTCCGATCACCGTGAGTTTCAGGCTAAATGCAATAGAGTAATGGTTCTTCACCGGGCTGCACATGAGATCACCTGGGAGGTGCAGATAAGACCCACACTTTGACCGGTCTTCAGACCCACGAGTTGCATGTCTCTGGGCGTGCGGTCAGACATATGCATGGTTCCAAGATGCATCTCGAGTTTGTGAATTTGGACAATGCTGTTCAAACTTCAGGTAATACACATTTCTTGGGATTGGGTTCAAATGCATATTCTCATTTAGTAGCTCTGGGGCAGAGATCAGATTCTGCATTTCTAACCAGCTCCCAGATGTCTGTCTGTCTGTCTGTCTACCTATCTAATCTTTTGTCCCTGGCACACCAACACTAAATTCCTTGGCGTCTCCAGAGTGTCCTTTGAATGTGAATGAAATGTCTGGTTGCCGATGGCCCCCAGATGGTTTCAGGATGGAGGGCAGCCACCGGAAAGACCAAGGTATGATGAAAGGGTTGGACCTTTTAGCGCCTGTCCCTCGTGACCGTGGGCAGGACAGAATGGCTGGAAATCAAGTTAAACACCAAAGATTTTATCATCAAGCATGCCTGCCTAGGAGTGGACGTGGAGTCACCACGCCACCCCCTCCGTCACACCTTGTCCTTGACATCTCTTCCACTTGGCTCTACTTGAGTTACATTCTCTATCATAAACTGGTAATCGTATTTTCCAGAGATCGGTGAGTCATCTTAGCAAATTATCAAATCTGAGGAGAGGGTTGTGGGGAACCCTCAAATTGATAGCCGGTCGGTCAGAAGTGGGTCTTGGGAGCAGCGTCTGAAGTGGTGGTGGACTCATAGGACTGAACCCTTGGGGAGTGTGACACGAATGTCAGAACTAAAGTGAACTGTAGGACACCCAGCTGATGTCCGGGGAGTTAAAGAATTGGTTGGTGTGAAAGGGCAAGCCCCCCCCACACACACACACACATTTGGTGTCAGAAGTGTGACTGCAAAGAACACAAACCCAGTCAGTTAGAAGGGGACAGGAGCAAAGCCATCAGAACTCAGCGTTCTAAGGAAGCCAGTGGCAACGTGGTGCCGGGGAGGGAAGGCGTAAGTGGGAACAGGGAGACCCGGTTCTAGCCTCTCCTGCCACTAACAGGCCCTGGGGCCCGGAACCATTTTTTTTTTTTCATATCACAATCCCAGAAGGAATCATACCTATAATTTTCCTAAGATTTCATATCCTTCTTTTCATTTTATTCTCTTATCATCTCTCGAAAGGGGCAAAGTGGGTATTGCTCTCTTTATATACCTTGGGGACAAAAAAACTCAGAGAAGATATTCAAAAAACTCTTTTTAAAAAACTACCAGGGCTGGAGACATAGCTCAGCTGGTCGCGCGCTTGCCTTGCATGCACAAGGCCCTGGGTTCTCATCCTCAGCACCACAAACAAATAAACCAATAAAAAATAAAACAGAAAACCACGTATTCAGAGGGAGAGTCGGGACCATCCCAAACACAAAGCTACGCCGTAGGTCTCTGCTTTGCAACCAAAGCACCCCGAGGGCTGGGCTCATCTTGTGCCAACGACAGCAGCTCTTGGCCTCCCCCCTGGTTCCCGGAGGCACCCCACTTACAACACGATGAGTGTGAGGATGAAAAAGAAGTGCACGCTGCCAATGAGGTTGTGATAGATCCACACCACCCACTGGTAGCCAGGCCGCCCGCTCAGGGTGTCGATCCAGCGGTAGACAGAGTAAATGAAGGAAGGCAGACCTCGAAATGGGCCGCAGTCGGCTGAAGGTTTCAGTCTGGAAAAACCCGGGTGGAAAAACATCTCTGGCACCAGACTCAGAGGTGGGCAGTCTAGAACCAGGATTTTTGTTTGCTTTGCTGGTTTTGATACTGGGAATTGAACCCAGAGGCGCTCAACCACTGAGCCACATCCCCATCCCCCTTTTTTTCTTTATTTTTTTTATTTTGAGACAGGGTCTCGCTGAGCTGCTAAGGGCCTCACTAAGGTGCTGAGGCTGGCTTTGAACTCGTAATCCTCCTGCCTCAGCCTCTCGGGTCACTGGGGTTATAGATGAGCACTGCTGTGCCCTGCTAGCAAGGGTCCTTTTTAGGCTCTGCGACTGGAAACAGCAGGTCTTGCCTTCTCTACCCACACTCCTCCCCTTCCAGAAGAAGCCCTCTGGCTCACAGCCCCTCTGGAATGACTGGTTCTAGGACCAGAGGTACCACCTGACCCAACAGAGGTCAATTCAAAGAACAGGCAGTGACCTCTGTGGTACCTTGGATTAAAGAAGTAAATGTGGGCAGAGAGTCACTTTCTTGGAAAATTGATTTAGGAAACCCCAAGAGGGAAGCCTGCTAGCTCTGGGGGTTGAAGCTGTCCGCCATGGGCAGTCAGTTATGCACCAGCAGAAACCAGAGGGCAATAAGGAGGAGAGGGAGAGACCAGTGGCTCTCATAGGAGGACAAGGGACATTGCAACATGCCCTGAAGCTGCTTGAGTCCCAGGTGGCTCCAATTTCACCTGCATCCCCCAGGTCAACCCCCCACCCCTTTCCTTCATTCTTTCTACCGAGGTTTATTTGACTTCTCCTAGGTACTGGGCTGGTCAGCCCGGGGATTCTATATTAAACAAGACAGGCCTCATCTTTCCCTCTTGGACTGACATTCGAGTGGGAACATTGGACAAATCCATGAGTAAGTAATTAGACAAAGGCATTTCTGACTTTGAATGGAGGGATGATGGAAAGAAATTCAGGCCTGAGATAGAGGGGTGGGGAGAAGGGTGGACCGAGGAGGATGGGAAGGTCCATCAGGTACACACGGATGATGGGGAGGGTCGGGTGGAGGAGACAGGCCTGGAGCTGAGAGTCGGAGAGTGGAAAGAAGGAATCCAGGCAAAGGGAGCACCGTGCCTGTGTGGGGAGGGGCCTCCTGGGTCCTGGGATGGTACAAGAGCTACGGGGTTGCTGCACCCATCAATCCAGAGCCCACACTGCAACCGTCTCCTTTATCAGACTCCTGTTCCCCTGCCCCAATCACTCCACGGCCAGGTACCAGACAACTTAGGGCAGCCCTGGGCCCCGGAGCCAATCCTAATCCTACCTACCCTGGCTTGCCCGTTCCCTACCATGGAAACCACAGTATAGGCGCTTACCCCCCCCCATCCCTGCTGCTTCTCTGTGTGTCCCCCCATGACATGGAGCGTCCCCTCCTCCTGGGAATGGGGAATAACCAATGTTATTGGTTATTGCCGCTGACTCTTGATCCCTCGGCCTCACCGTGTCTGGATAATAATAAAACCTGCCCTGGGAAGCAAACCCCAGGCCACCATCCCCTACCTCCAGATGGTGATGGCCAGCGTGCACAGCACCCCAGTGAAGGACGGGAAGAAGAGCAGGAAGATGAAGACGGTTATCATCTGGGAGGCCCTCCAGGCTTTGCTCGGGGGCTGGAAGTTCACTATCAGGCTGATCTGCGGAGAGAGGTGCCGTCCCCTCCCATCTGCACCAGAGGAGCAGCCGAGGGACCCCACCTGGGGAGGACCTCATCCCTTGTCGCGCCCCCCACCCCCAGATCCAGTCACCTCCCTGTCCCAGGAGACCCAGCAAAGCCTGAGGGCTGTGACCTCAGGCTGACTCACATTTTTGACATAAAACATGGTGAAGAGGGTGATCATCTGGATGAAGGAGAGCAGAGGACAGAAGAACATTCCAATCCTGAAAAGGCAAGAGTCAGAGCCCGGGGGCGGGGCCAGAAGTCGGGACCCAGGTGGTGGCGCAGAGAAAAGGGGTCAATCACATCCCCATAAAAAAAATCCACGTGGTGAAGTCCTAACCTCTAGGACCTCGAAACGTGCCTGTCTTTGGAGACAGGGTCTGTAAAGAGGGAGCTAAGTTGAAATGAGGTCACTGGGGTGGGCCCAGTCACCAACAGGGCTGGTGTCCTTCACAGAAGAGATTAAACACAAGCATAGAGGGGGACCACCACACAGGGAGGTGGTGACCTGTGACAGGCAGGTCCTTCTCTCCTGGCCTCGGAAGGAGCCAGCCCTGCCCACACCACCTTGATCTTGGGCTTCCTGCCTCCAGAGTCATGAGAGAACAAATCTCCATGGCTAGAGCCACTGGGCTCTGGGACCCCACCATGACAGCCCTGTGGATGGACGGAGGGGGCTGCAGCGTGGCCGTGAACCAGGGTCCCCAGCTGCCCCTTTTCCAGCTCTGGGAAAGTTCTGCCAAGTGACTCCACACTAACACCAAAGCCCCCGCTGGCCTTCGGCAGCCCCAACCTGCTGTGTCCTAAATGAGGGAATCAACCCGGTTTTGGAGCAGGATCGAGGTCCTGCAGGGACGAGGCTTGGGGGTACACCTCTTTCCAGCTCTCCCTCAGCGCTCCTGGTGCCCAGGAAGAAAATCAGTTTGGTGCTAGAATGTCTTTTAACTTCTACCCATCGCTAACCCCCATGTTTCCAGAACAGGATGAGGCCTTAAACCGGGAGCCTCGGCACACAGCAGGGTCTGGCTCCAAGGTAAAGACTTTCAGGGTGGGATTGTTCTTATTTTTTCCAGTTACTTTGTGATTTCTGTCAACTAGCACTGGCGGACTCCTTTAAAAATGTATTTAAGTTTAAAAAAAAAGGCAAACAATTCCAAAAAAAGTACTAGGTAGATAATACATCAGATGATGTGGCAATGTGCCCCCCAAAGAAGCCAGATTAGATTGGCAAGGCGAGAGTGTAAAAGGGTGAAGCTTGGAAAACACGTTCCTCACCTTATCTCCCTTCAGCCATAACATGCACTCCCTTTTCTGTTATTATATCATCTTCTTTTAAAATTCATCATTAGGCTGGGTGCAATCGTGCGTGCTTATAATCCCAGTGACTCAGGAGACTGGGTCAGGAGGATCGCAAGTGGGAGGCCAGCCTCCACCACTTAGTGAGACACTGTCCCAAAATAAAACAATAAAAGGGGCTGGGGATGTAACTCAGTGGTAGAGCACTTGCTTAGCCTGTGTGAGGCCCTGGCTTCCATCCCCAGTTGTGCAGTAAAAGAAACCAGTTATATTATGATATCCCTGTGTCATTATTTGTTAAAAAACAAAAAAACTTAGGAGTGCCTGTATCTCAGGATCCAGCAATTTCACATCTTGGCCTATATGCGAAAGAAGTGGGGAAAGGATCTCAAGGAGATAACTACACACTTGTGTTCAGAATGACACTATTCACAATTGCCAATCGGTGGCAGCCACGGGTGGTGGACCGATGAATGGATAAATAAAATGTGGCCTTCTGCACACAATGAGCTCTTGTTCAGCTTTGGCAGGGAAATGCAACCCGTGGACACACCTAGAGCTCAGGGTGCTGTGAAATAAGCCAGGCACAAAAAAGACCAATATTATTTGACTCCACTTTTTTTTTTTTTTTGATGGTGTAACATAGATTCACAGAACCAGAAAGTAGATCAGGGGTTGCCAGGGGCTAGGAGGCGCAGGAAAGGAGTGGCGGATACTGGGTACAGAGTTGTTCCAGTTTTGCCAGATGAGAAGGTTCTGAAGATGGGTCACACAACCATGTGATCATACTTGCTATGAATTTTTACAATTTTTTTTAAAGAGTGCTCATAAAGATAACAGTGTCGCAGGGTGAGGTGGTGCACGCCTGTAATCCCGGAGGCTCGGGAGGCTGAGGCAGGAGGATTGCGAGTTCAAAGGCAGCCTCTGGAGAGGGCTTAAGCAACTCAGTGAGACCCTGTCTGTAAATAAGATCCAAAATAGAGCTGGGGACGGGGCTCAGTGGTCGAGTGCCCCTGAGTTCTATCCCTGGCACCCAAATAAATAAATAACAGTGGTCATCGTATCCCCACTTATAAAACCTTTCTGAGTGAGGCGCTCACTAAGCCCTGAGCATGTGCATTTTCTCATTTAATCCTCTCTGAAGCCCTGTGAGGCAGGTACTGTTATCTCTACCTTTTACCTTGCACGAAGGAAACCTGCATACTGAAATAATGGGTTTGTAAGCTTCCAAATTGCCAGCGGGTGCCCTAACAGGCCTCCTAAACACCAAAGTCCTGGCTAAATTAAATTCATTGACACGAACGAATTATCTGGGGGGAGGGACAATTTGGGACCTCCCCCCGCCCCATGAAACGCCAAGTCCTCCCTCAGTCAGGGTCAAGCCGACTTACCACACCAGAGTTTGTGCATAGATCAGCTCTAGAACATTCCTGGCAATGTCAAATTCCTGTAAGCCAAGGCTTGTGATGAACCGCTTCCCAATGATCCTGTGAAAGTGTCCTGAGGTCAGTCCCCAAACCCCCACTCCCGCCTGACAAGGTTCCCCAGGGGCCAGGACCATCAGATGCAGAGACCCTCCCCAGGTTAGGATGAAGTCCTTAGTTCCAAGTATCAGCACGTGTTTGAAAAAATAATTGAGGGGCAAGTGGAATTAATACAGTGCAGTCAAGTGGGGTACTACTAAAACGATTTTAAAATAATTCTAGAGAATTTTGTTACCTGAATTGTTAACATATCCTACCTATTATCTTTTTAATATCATTTTGGCTTATTAAACCTTTTGTATGAACCAGATAAACTCAGCACTCCCCAATTCAAATAACTCTTCTAAACTAAAAGTGGTTTTTGTTGTTGTTGTTGTTGTTGTTGTTCTGGGGATAGAACCCAGGGCCTTGCACAAGCTAAATACTCTACCGCTGAGCTACAGTCCCCACCAAACAACCACAAAAATTTAGTTAGTGTTTACTGCTGTTAAATGAATGCTAGCTATTTCCCAAATCCATAAGGAGGACCCAGGCTTCAGGCACGGAGTCAGGTACAGGCACAGGTATTCATGACCAGCAAATACTCACCTCCTCAGAAACTCCCCCAGGAAGGAATCCACTAAAGAGAACACGAAGTCCATCAGGAGGAGCCGGTAGATTTCCTGGCCAATCAGGGTCTCCCAACACTGTAAGACACAGAGGGGTCGGGGTGGGGGCGGGCACATGGCCCCAGCTCAGCCCCTCTGCTCCATTCCTGCTCCATGTGCTCTGTGGGACACAGCTGGACCGAGTCCTTGTATACCCAGAAGGGCAGACCCACTGTCTGCGATCAGCACAGCCAGGTTCGTTTCCAGGGGTGTCCATTCTCTCTCTCTGGGTCCCTCCCTCACCATTAAGTCCTGCTTTCCACATAAACCAAACTCCTCCTTCTCAGGATCTCTCCTTTTAAAATCTTTCATCTCCCCCCAATCCCCTCCAGGTCCCATTTCTCAGTCAGGGATAATCGTTTCTTCAGGAGGTGGGAGACATCGACGGCTAAGAGTGCTCCCCTTCCTTGGGCTTGGTGACCTACAGAACATCAGTGAACACCTGCTTAAGAAAGTGACTTGTGATTGACTGAATTGTTGCTGCAGCTCTGGAAACAGGAAACTTGAGTTAGTGTGTGAAACTAGTCAACTATGTGGGAGTCAGCGGTAGGAGCTGAAAGACCAGGAGCTTTTAGGTTTGGCTGAAGTGGGAGAGGGAAGTTCTGGGTTCACAGCTCAAGGATGGGCAGATGGATGAATGCATGGGCACGTGGATAGATGGATGGATGGATAGATGGATGGATGGATGGATGGACGGACACATAGATGAATGAATGAATGGATACGCAGGTAGATAGATGGATTGATGATGGATGGATTGATGATGGATGGATGGATGGATGGACATATGGATGAATGGATAGATGGATGGATGGATGGAAGGAAGGCTGGATGGACACATAGATGAATGGATGGATGGATTTGGGTGGATAAATGATACATGAATGGATGGATGGATGGATACATGGATAGAAGGATGATGGCTGGACACATGGATGAATGGATGGATGGATGGATGGACACATGGGTGAATGGATAGATGGATAGATGGATGCATGCATGGATGAATGGATGAATGGATTTGGGTGGATAAATGATAGATGAATGGATGGATGGACACATGGATGAATGAATGGATGGATACATGGGTAGATGGATGGATAGATGATGGATGGATTTGGGTGGATAAACGATAGATGAATGGGTGGATAGATGGATGGATGGATGGATGGATGGATGAACTGTGGGTGGATCAATGGTGAATAGAAGTATAATGTGGTATCCTTCTAACCAGCCTAACTTGGAGGGCTGATTTTGAACTTCTTTGATGGTTAGGGTGAGAAGATGAGGGCACCATGTTCATGTGAGTTGGTTTGCATCTGGACACAGCAATGTTATGTGGAAGCCCAGGGACAAAGAATGACAGAGAGCTGAAGAAATTAATGTCAACTAGGATCATGATGCTCTGGAGAGACTTATGTCCTCCCTTGAGATCAAAGACCAAGAAAGCCAACTGAAGGGAGAACATGGAAATCTCACCTCTTCACCAGACAGGGCCACGATGTTGAGCCAGTAGTAACAAAGAATTCCAATGATGGATATTTTTAGAAAGATGTTTCTAAATAACAGAAGAGAAAACAACTATCATTTCCCTCCATGGCAGACTCCTGTGCTGTTTGCCAACACTTCCTTTGGGGCACCTGGTAGTATGGACATCCCTGCCCTCCTGTGCATGGGTGAGACCATGTGGCTAGTTCCCGGGAGTATATTGTGAGCCGAACCATTATGTGTCACTTCTGGGCTACAGCAATAGCTGCCTTTGAGATCCCCGGAAGCCACATCTCCCCTTTGGAATGGCAATCAGCGATGTTCAAGATGGCGGCCCTCTCAGCAGGTGGCCCTCAGTGATTGACAGGAGCAGAACCAGCCGCCCTGCCACACGCAGAGCACATGTAGCCTGGGCAAGAATAAGCCTTTATGTTCCAAGCTACTGAAATCTGGGGTTGTGTTGTTCTTGTCACTGGGGCATAAACGAATGTATTCTGATTGATACACTCTCATTTGTCACATCTCCAAACTATCCGATTTCACCTCTGGCAATAGTAAGTCCACCCATGGCTCACTGGGTACTAACTAAAGGTCCTGTGACAGGCACCACCCCCTCCATGTTCACAATTCCATCATCAGGTAAAATTATATTTTATGCCCATCTCGCTTAATTTGCAAGATTATGAGGTGACGGTGAACCCTATATGTCCCCCTCTATACCCACTTAATGGGGCACCAGGGAAAATCTCTGAGAGGGTGACATTTGAGCAGAAGTCCAAACAGAGTCAGGAAGCAGACCACGCAGCTATGTGTGGGTAGAGTGTTCTGGACAGAGAGGACATCCCGTGCAAAGGCCCAGGGGTGGGCACAGAGTTTGGCGTGTTTGTGAATACCCAGGAGTCCGGCGGGGAGGAGATGGTGATCAAGAAGGAGAGAGGTAGGAAATGAAGCTGAAGAGCTGGTCAGGAGCCAGACCTCAGAGGCCACAGTAAGGAACGTGCTCTGGAAGTGATCCATAAAGAAACTTGAACTGCTTTGTGCAGACCTATTGCCATAACCAGGAGCGATTCAGGGAACCAGCCAGGAAGAAGGTGTCAGGGCAGGATTTGGACAGTACAAGCCTTTGTTTATCAAAACGCTGGGGCCACCTCTAGCACATAGGGTGCCTGAGTTGGAATCACCAAAATGTATCACCCCTCCCACCTCTGGGTGGCTGAATTATAAAAAATGTACATCCTCATCCCTGCTGATGCAGTAAGTACCAGGACTCACAGTCTGACCCTGGATGATTCCAGTCCCTACACAATTCCTCAGTCTGAAACCTTTGTGCAGTGCACTGCCTGCCCATCTGTACAGGTCATACTTGAGATGTATGTTAATTCTCAGGCTTATAACCTTTGGAAAAGATAAGCTGTTACTTTGAGCTTTATTTTTCCAGTTTTTGTTTGTTTGTTTGTTTAACCCACACCACAGAAACACACTTCACTCTTGAAATCCCTCCCTTCTGGAGGACCCAACTGTGATACTTGAGCTGAACCCCTCCAGCTCCCTGGAAATGACACGGGTGTTGGGTGCGACGGACACACCTACCGGATCAGGAGGATGTAGACCTCATGCCGGGGCAGCTCGTACCTCTCCACGAGCCTGAGCATGGAGTATAAGCGAGGCACAGCTAGGTTGATGCAGGACACAAGGAAGGGTAGTAACAGCACGGCTCCGGGGTTCTGGTGTGTCTTCAGGAACTGTAAGGAGATAGCCAAGATGCCCACTGTGCGCTGGACCCTCTCTGCCTCACCTGGAAGACGGGCACGGTAGGGAAACCCCAAAAGGGGCTCCTCTGGGCTCAGCTATGAAGCTACCATTATTTAGTACTTACCCTGTGCCAAGCATACTGAGGCTCAGAGAGGTAAAGACACTTGCCCAGGGTCAACCAGCAAGAAAAGGGAAGACCCGAACCCAGACATTTCTGCCCCAGGGACTAAGCTCCAAGAGCCATTATGGGATTCTGCCTTCTTGTCAAGATGCCCAGGACATGGAGGATGTGCCTCTCGCAGTTGGGGCAAAAGCCTGCGTGTGCAGGTACCACAGCAAGAGGGGACCACTCACGGCGGAAATTCTCTTTTCCTCTCTGTGTGATCTTGTGCATTTCCCTAGGAATCACCTGCTCTTGAGAACTGGCCTAGGAGGAGGGGGTGCCTCTGGAGGCCCACGCTGCCCCCTTGTGTGAGCGGGAGAGAGGGCCTTCCTCAAGGGAACCCCGCACCCTGGCATCGGCTCAGGGCGCAGCCTGGGCCGCCCCTTGGCCAGCTGTCCTCTCTGCATGACTTGGGATAAGAGAGTCCTGTGGATCCATGGGATGCCTTGCATCCCCTTCTGAGCATCCTCAGGTCTGAGCCTGCATCTGCTGGGGACCGTTCGCAGGCGCCCCGTGCATTTCTGGAGTGTCTCTGGAGCCCCGGGCTCCCGGGGTCCCAACGCTGCCCGCCTCCCCCACTAACAGCTGCCCCGGTGGAGCCGACGCTCGGCACCTCTGAGCCTCTCCTCCCCGATTGTACAGCCGCGAGGTTTCACATAACCTCAGAGATGTTGCAAGGATTCAGTGAGACCCAATAGGGCCAAGCCTGGGCCCTGGGACACAGCTGGGGACACTCCCAGGAACTGGAGTGACCGATGATTGGCGGCCACCACTTCAGATGCTGAAGCCCTGGGACTCCCTCACTCCTGCCTTCTCTGCCCCAAGCTGCTCCCCTTTGTTCAGGACCAAACAGTCAGAAGTCTTCCCACCGACACCTGCCTGGTCACAGCTTGCACCCTAGGTGGGCGTGGCCGGGGGCCCCAGGACTGTGACCCAACCTCCCCTCTTCACAGCAGACCTTAACAGGGCATGGACACAACCCCACATTTTTTATTCTGGCCTCTTTTGCAGTTTCCTCCATTTAGTTGAGAACCTATTATGTCCTAGGTCTTGGGCCAGGTGCTGGGAGAAACAGACACACAAGCAGGGGGCCTCAAAGCTGCACTTCTCAGGTCCAGAGGGGAAGGCTGCAGAGTCAGGGGTGCTCTCCTCAGCCTAGTGGGGGTACAGGTGGTGGTGAGGGCAGGCTTCCCGGAGGAGGGGACAATCATGCTAAGGTCGGGGTGGGGGGAAGTTTGCCAGGTGACAGGAAGCATAATACAGTCAAGGATCTGTGAACGCACCGTTACGCATGGTTGGCACTAGATACGGGGGTGGTGGGGCACAGGCAAAAGTCAGGTCATAAAAGATCTACGAATCCTGCCCCGAGAATCCGTTTGTATTTTCTTCCCTTTACCCCTCCCTCCCTTTCCTTCCTTCCTTTTGTTGAAGAGCTGCAGATCAAACCCCGGGTCTCAGGCAAGCTTTGCAAGTGCTCTACCACGGAGCCATCCCCGGCCCTAGACTTCATACCGAGAACCATGGGAAGCCGTTAAAGAAAGTTACGGAACCAGAGCAAAGTGCGCCCAATGGTGGAGATCTGCACCCGGACAGAAGGAGCCCGTTACCCAGAGAACACAGCTGCACCTACAGAAAACCCGTCCTTCCCCATGGCCACCCAGGAGACCAGGGTCAGAGCCTAAGTCACAGCATCCCGTTATCACGGAGGGTGCCGGGCACGGGGAGGGGATAATGAAGGAAGAAATGAGCACTGGATCCCGGGTGCGCAGCCAGAGCCCCCAGCTCTGCAGCAGCCCGGACCCTTTGCTCCCTGCTGGGGCGCAGAGCTGAGCCCGGGAGCCAGGGAGCCGGAGCCGGGGGACTGTGCGACTGTACCCTGGTTTCCTGACGCTGACCTCAGGTCCCCACCAGCCTCCCACCCCTTCCTCTGCCCGGGCCCCTGGCCTTCCCGCCCGTCGGGTTACCTCGGAGTTGTACTCGGCCAGGTAATAGACGGCGACACAGCAGGCGATGGCCATGCCAGTGGACACCAGCCAGGCCGCCACGTGGGCAGACAGGCGCGTGAGCTGCTGGTGGAAGGTGAGCTTGGTGTTCTCCAGTCGGATCTCTGACAGGTTCTCCTGGAAACACAGGAAGCCAGCTGAGTCCCAGGTCCCTCCTGCTGTCAGCTGGTGTGTGTGGGGGGGGACGGGGACACGCTGCCCCCCCCCAAGAGACACACCCAGCCCAGATCCTCAGGGATGGACCTGGATTGTGGGAGGTCCCAGGGAGAAGCTCAAAACAGCCAAGAACCCCCATCCCCACATCCAACTCCGTTTCCATCTTAGAGGAACCAGTGGAAGCAACAGATGGTGACTTTGACCTTGAGGGAAACACATGAAGGTCACAGAGGTGTTCCTCGAACGAGGCTGGGTGCACGCACAGAGCAAGAAGTCAACACCTGCAACCCTCTTGTCAAAGCCCCTGCTGATGAATTCTGCTTGTTAATTCTTTTTTGTATGTTTTTATTTTGGGGAGGTGGGGGGTACTGGGGATTCAACTTAGGGGCACTCGACCACTGAGCCACGTCCCCAGCCCTATTTTGTATTTTATTTAGAGACAGGGTCTCACTGAGTTGTTTAGTGCCTTGCTTTTGCTGAGGCTGGCTTTAAGCTCACGATCCTCCTGCCTCAGCCTCCCAAGCTGCTGGGATGACAGGCGGGGGCCACCAAGCCCAGCTTTGCTATTTCTTTTTAATAAGTTTATTTCTTTACACCAGGGTTGCTCCATCTCCACACTATTAATATTTGGGGCCAGATAATTCAGGGGGGGCATCCTCTGCACTACAGAGTGCTTAATAGCTTCCCTGGTCTCTACCCCCTGGATGCCAGCAGTAGCCTGTCCCCAATTGTAGCCACCAAAAAAGTCTCCAGACATTGCCAAACATCCCTCTGAGGGGAGAAGATGTTCTAGATTGAAAACTACTGCTCAGGGGTAAAGTTTTAAACCTGGAGCTGTAGGGTCAGGACTCCATGCCTTCAAACACTTTAACATAAAGGGCTAGGTGGCCTCCAGGAGGGCTGTACCAGGGAGAAGGCCCCCGAGTCATGCAGAAATGTCCATCTCCCCACATCACCACCAGAACCAGGTGTTATGGCTATTTTGTGTTTCTATCCTTTTTTTTTTTTTTTTTTTAACAAATCTCATGAGCAATTAAAAAAAAGTTGGGGCTGGGGATGTGGCTCAAGCGGTAGCGCGCTCGCCTGGCATGCGTGCAGCCCGGGTTCAATCCTCAGCACCACATACAAACAAAGATGTTGTGTCCGCCAAAAAATAAATAAATAAATATTTAAAAATAAATAAATAAAAATAAAAATTAAAAATAAAAAAAAGTCATTGATTATTGCTTGATCTAAAGCAGACATTGCGGAGGAGGAGGTGGGGGGATACCGCCTGTGGAAAGACGCCTCACCCTTATCTCCGTGCTCAGACTCTTCTGTTTCAGCTTCACGGCTTTTTCGTGCGTGACAGTAAAGTCCCAGCAGAAGATAAGTTTGGCGATCCCTCTGGAGTAAATGTGGGGGTTGATGAAGTTGTTCCGGAAATACTTGGCCATGCTGGAGAAAGCAGAAACCAAAGCACCCACAGGTCACTCCGCCAGGCATCGGGGGGCGCAGGGCTGGGACCAAGGACACCCCGCCATCATCAGTGGTGAAAGGTGACATTGGAAGAGTGGCCTGGAGCGCTGGGACAACAGACACAAAGTGAGGCCTGCCTCACCATCTGAACTCGCCCACTGGGGAATCTTCGTCCTTTGAACTGTTCTGAGTGTCAGTTTTCACACCTCGAAATGGGGATAATGACAGGGCCCACCTCAGAGATCTGGTGAGGAGGTATGCGTTTCCTGCAGCTGCTATAACAAATCACTGCCAACGAGACAGCTTAAGATGACGCGGGTTTATGACCTTAACATTTCTGGAGGTCAGAAGTCAGAAAATCGGTCCTACAAAGCAAGACTTTGGCAGGGCCCTGGTCCTGGGAGGAGGATCTGGGGGAGAACCTGTTTCTTTGCCTTTTCCAGGTTTGGGGGGCTATCTGCATTCTCTGGCTGTAGGTCCCTCCTCAAAGCAAGAGGAGTAGCATCTCTCTCTTTCCCTCTCTGACCTCTGGTCTCCCTCTTAAAAGGACCCTGAGGGGCTGGGGATATAGCTCAGTTGGTAGAGGGCTTGCCTCGCATGCACAAGGCCCAGGATTCAATCCCCAGCACCACACAAAAAACCTGTGGGTCCACGGGGCCAGCTGGATAACCCAGGATAATCTGCCCATCTCAAGATCTTTGACTTAAACACATTCCCTTTGGGTTGGAGATTAGTAGCCAACCACCAGTCGCTAGAGGGTTTGGAACAGCAGGCACTAGAGGGCGCTATTGAGATGGTGGGGATGTCCCAGACCCAGGATGTCCTCAGCACCTGGCCTGGCGTGTAACAGGGGCTGAATCTGCACCCCTTAGTAACAGCTACTGCAGAAACATTTTCTGCTTTAATAGAACAGAATGAAATGGCACTTTAGTTAGAATTATCATCCTGGTATTAAGGTCATTAGGAGCTGAATTGCTTCCAATCCCCAGCACTGCAAAGAAAATTAAAATAAAAATGAAGATGGGGACGCAGAAACACAGAGGGAAGACCACTGAACACTCAGGGAGAAGACAGCTGTATTAGTCAGCTTTCCATCACTATAACGCACGCCTGAAATTTAAAAAAAAAAAAAAACTTACAAAGAAAAAAGGTTTGTTTTAGCTCACACTTTTGGGAGCTTCGGTCCATGATGAGTTGGCCCCGTTGCTTTGCACATTATGGTTGTGCAGGAGGGCAGAGCAGAGCAGAACTTCCCAGTTTGTGACCAGGAAGTGAAAAGGAGACAGAGATGCGAGGGATCCCCTTTAAGGACCCACCTGAACCCTCCCAGCGGGCCCCACCTCTTAAAGTCTCCACCACCTGCCAATCACATCAACGTGGGATCAAGCCTTTAATACCCAGGTCTGTGAAGGACACGGAAGCTCCAAACTATATCAAGCCAAGAAAATAACCTTAGAAGAAACCCATCCCCCTGATCCCTTGATCTTGGACTTCTACCTTCCAGAAACTGTAAGAAAATAAACTCCTGCTGCTTCTTAAGCCTCCCAGTCTGTGGTGCCCTGCTCCGGCCACCAGCCAGTGCCCACGGCTGGAACCTTTTCCTGTGTGGTCTCCCACATGTACCTCGTCTCTGACCACTGTCCACTGTGTCCTCAGGTCCGAGTCATCTGGGTCACCCCATCTTTATTTTTCCTTAAAGGCACACAACTAACTCTGCCCAGCTCCTATTTTACATCCCAGGACCAAGAGATCCAACATCGTGGAGAAACTGGCTCCGGGGTAATGTTTTGGAGCGTCTTGGATTTTGCCTGAATCTCCAGGCAGCCTCATCAGGAAAGGCGGACGTCTCCGTACCTGAAGAGCAAGCTGAAGAAGCAGGTGACCAAGCAGGCCCCGATGGTGAAGAGGTACGCCAGCTGCATGTTGTAGGCCAGCCTGCTGCTCCCGTGCCGGATGGTGGAATTGGTGTAGAAGCCGTAGTACATCACCGTGTCCCTGAAGTAACCCTGACGGGGACAAGGAAGAGATCCAGGTCAGGTGCATCTTGAGACAGAGGTCAACGACGATGGTCCTCAGACCTGACCTCTTCATCTGCAGGAAATTTGGGCCAATCAATTTAGACATTGGTATCAAAGGGGAATCCTTTCCAGAACTCTTCCTCTCTCTCTCTCTCTCTCTCTCTCTCTCTCTCTCTCTCTCTCTCTCTCTCTCTCTCTCTCTTTTCTTTGTACTAAAATTGAATCCAGAGGTGCTTAACCACTGAGCCACAACCCCACTCCTTTAAAAAAACGTTTAATTTACAGACAGGGTCTCACTGAGTTGCTTAGGGCCTCTCTAAGTCACTGAGGCTGGCTTTGAACTCAAGATCCTCCTGCCTCAGCCTCCTGAGCTGCTGGGTTGACAGGCGTGCGCCACTGCGCCCGGCTTCCAGAACCCTTAAGGACACCCAAATCTGCAGCTGCTCAAGTCTCGTATATTAAATGGCCACTGTATTTGCACATAACCTGCCCCTATCTTCCGGTCTGCTTTAAATGATCTCACCCATCATACTGGATACAATGTCTATGCTATGTAAATAGTTGTTACAGTATACGATTTAGGGAGTAGAGGAGAAAACAGTGTATACGTGTTCCAAACAATTTTTTTTTAAATGCTTTCAACCTGCAGTTGATCAAATCTGAGGATTCGGAACCCGGGGATTTGGAAGATCGACTGTTTTGCCAGAAAAAGGGCTCCCACGTCCACGGAGAACCTAGAGGGAGGTTTTCTCACTAGGCTCCCAGAGTGAAGAAGAGTCTCCAAACCAACAGAACCTCACAAGGAAGGTGCTGGTTTCACAGACAGACGGGCAGCAGGACAGACCGTCCTTGTGGACCTCTGCCAGCTGCTGAATACGAGGGCCACACGTATTTAATAGAAAACAATTTAAGCCTTTAGGTCTACGCTGCAGTTTACAGAAAATGAGAAACCGGTTGGAAGAAACACAAGGAAATAATCAAATAATCTTGGAAGGTAGGATTTCAGAGCCTACAGAACAACGGGCACAGTTTCTATAATAAAGACAATGTCCAGAAAAGGCTCCCTGGGGTTGGGAGACTGTTCTAGATTCATACAGATTTAACGGGGGGTGGGGGGGTAGATATCCAGTGTGATCTTTGGATCATGGTCAGAGCACGCTCTGGAATTTCCCTCAATTTGGGGGAAAACTGGAAAAATGTGAATATGGTTTGATTTTTAGATAACGTTCATCTTTAACCCTGTTGAACGTGATGATGGGATGACGACGGCCCTGTGCCCTTATATTTCAGAGATGCACGCTGAGGAACTTCAGAGTGAAACATCCTGATGTCTGTAATTTACTTTAAGATGCTTCCCCAAACAATAAGAGAAAGCAAATATGGCAACTCTAAATCTACGTAGCACGTAGAGGAGTATTTACCGTACCTCTCTTTACTCTTCTGTATACTTTGAAATGTCTCCTAATAATGAATTCTTCTTATACACAAAATGTACATGGTAACGCAAACATGAAGGATCAATTAACACAATAATTCTATTTTAGCATTAAAGGAAAATACTTTTTAGGGGTTTTGTTTGTTTTTGGTACCTGGGATTGAACCCAGGGTGCTTAACCACTGAGCCCCCCCATCTCCAGCCTTTTTTATTTTGAAACAGGGTCTTGCTAAGTTGCGTAGGGCGTCACGGTTGCTGAGGCTGGCCTTGAACTTGCAATCCTCCTGCCTCAGCCTCCCAAATTGCTGGGACTACAGGTGTGTGCCTGGGCTTGCTGGGCATGAACTTGGGGTCCAGGAAACGCAGGACTTACCGCCCCCGTAAAAAACTCCAGCCCCGTGAACTGGAGTGTGTTCTTCTGGGCCACTGTCAGCTGGGGAATAACCAAGAAGCTGAAGTTCACGATGAAGGAGAAAATGTTGAACTTCAAAAGCCACCTCAGAAAGCTGAAATAGGAGAGGACGCTGGTTCCAAACTTGCCTCCGATGACCTTGAGCGTCTTCTGCCACAGGCTGGTGGTGTTGAGGAGCTCAGAGATGCTGTTTTTGGATCTCCGGTAGACCTGGAGTTAAGGGTGCCGGGCAGGGGGGTTGGGGTTCACTCAGGTATCTCCCGAGTAGGGTCCCTCCTGGCACAACCAGCCACCGACCCCAGAGCCTTCCACAGGGCCCCACACCATGCTCTGCATGTTGACAAAGTTCATCTCCTTTAAGCCTCATTCATCTCTGAGGTTCTGCTATTGTGACTTTCCCAGGTTTGCTGAGGCTGGCCTTGAACTTTCGATCCTCCTGTCTCAGCCTCCCAAATTGCTGGGATTACAGGTTGAAGAAGATGATGCTCCCAGTGGCCAAGTGGGCCACCGACCTCAGTGTCCTCCTAGACCTTCCCTATGTCCACCTTTGCTCCCAGTGGCTCTGGGCAATGACGTCTCTCTGACTCCATCCTTCTATCCTCACTCTTGCCCCCCCTGTTTTCACCCTCTTGCTGTGCTGGTTTTACTATTTAGTATACCTATTATACCCACATTTACTGCAGCACTGTTTACAATAGCTAACCAACCCAGAACCAACCCAGCAGTCCTATGACACAGAACCACCCCAGCACTCCATCGACAGACGAATAGATTAAAAAGAAAAAAATGTGGTATCTGCCCAATGGAATACTATTTAGCCATAAAGAAGACCGGAATTCTGTCATTTGCAGGGGAAAAAAAGGTAGAACTGGAGGACATTATAAACCAGACACAGGAAGAAAGGCACTGCAGGCTCTCACTCATAGGTGGAGACTAACATACATTGTGGAGTGCCACCCATAAAGCTACTTGAGTGGTCTTTTACTCAGTACCGAACCATGGGGGACTTAGGTCTCCCCCCAGGGACCATCGTGGTATTCCCGTGTGCAGATTCAGGGCGTGAGATCTCTGCCCACCCCCATTAGTGGGTCAGCTCTCGTGCTCTGGAGTTGGGCGTGACCCAGGGGAACTGGACAGCCCACCCCCTACCTTATTTGGCAAAGAACATTCCATGGAAAACCTTTGATGTCCCCCATATAAATAAAGCAAGCGTGGGCTCCACTGCTCCCTCTTTCCATGTGGAAGCTCCATCCTTAAGATCCAAGAGCCTTCCTGCCCTCACTGGAAAAAATTACTTCCCGTGGACTGTGGGGTTTTCCGCCCTTTTCTCTTGATTAGCTCGCGGCCGGCCTGCCTTCCGCAGGGGAACCCCAATTCCACCGTGTGCGCGGGATGTGGGCGAGAATGACTCTTTCTGAACGTAGAGGAGTGATTACTAGGAGCTGGGAGGCTTTGGGGGAGGAAGAACAAGGAAAGGTCAGATAACAGGGAGACAGAGTGAGCTGTGGTGTCCCCAGCCCAGGGGGTGACTGCAGCTGACAATGGCCTATTGGGTGGGTCATGCTGGTCCAGGAGACAGGAGCTCAAAGGCACCGAGGAGAAAGGAATGATGAGGAGGGGCGAGGGGCAGAGCTCAGTGGCAGGGTGTGGGCTGAGTGGGCAGCTGGCCCTGGAGGAGGAGGAGGAGGGGGAGGGGAGGGGAGGGGAGGGGGAGAAATAAAAGGAAGGAAGGAAGAGAAGAAAAGTAAAGTGGGAGGGAAATGTCCCTATGCACACAGTATGTCTTTCCATGCTGATCAGAACATAAGATTCAATTCTAAGCTGAGCGCAGTGGCACACGCCTGTCATCCCAGCGGCTCGGGAGGCTGAGGCAGGAGGATCGTGAGTTCAAAGCCAGCCTCAGCAACTCAGGGAGGCGCTAAGCAGCTCAGTGAGACCCTGTCTCTAAATAAAACACAAAATAGGGCTGGGGATGGGGCTCAGTGGCTGAGTGCCTCTGAGTTTAATCCCTGGTATCAAAAAAAAAAGAAAAAAGAAAAGAAAAAAAGAAAGAAATAAGAAAAAGAAAAAAAGATTCAATTCCAAAAAAGACTCACCAGAGAGAAGGTGTGCAGACACCGGGTGCAGCAGGCCACCTCCAGGGCACGGGGACCCTGTTTGCTCTTCTCTTTGTCAACCACTTTCCTGTCGGGAATGGGAGGAGACAACGAGAGACCCACTGTAACTCACCTTCAGGAGGGGCTGCGGCTGGGTGGGGGGCTGCCTGTAGGGCCAGCTGCTGGGAGGGGGTGGCACAGCTGGGGGCACAGCAGGCCTCCCTGTGCCGCCCCCTCCGTGGAGAAGGAAAGAATGTAGCTGGTGCAGGGACCCCCAGCCAGGCCCCCCTGGAAGGCACTTCCTCCTCTCCAGGCCTCCTTCACGCGCCCACACCCCAGTCCAGGGAGTGGGTGAGTCTCCAGCCCCTGGGGAGAGGCGGGCCTCCTTGGATTATCCGGAATGTTCCACAAGGAATATTTGTCTCTCCTCCTGCATTTATTGATCTCTCCTCTGAGGTTCGCATGAAATCGGGTTCAGATGGACAGTCCTCCAGTCCTTACCTCAGCTTTCTCTTCTCTTCCATGGTCCTGGGCTGGTTCCTGATGGCCTTGATTCTGTCCCTGGATGTCATGGGGATCAGGGATGCTATTAACTTTTGTCCTGCCAAAGGAGACACACGGAGATTCGTTTCTTTCTTTCTTTTCTTTCACAGGGTTGTAAACATTTTAAAACCTGCTGCTGATGTTAGATCACGTTCTTATAAAGAGCACAAGGAAAGAGAAAAACAGGGACCCGAGGATCCCCAAGTCCACGATCGAGAACCGCAAGAAGACCAATAAGTCTGTTCAGACTCAGAGCCAAAGGAATCGACGATGTGGGGCTGCCTCTCAACTCAACCCTTCTCTCCCGTCACAAAAAGACAATATTCAGGGAAGCCACCGGGATCCCGCCACTCCCTCCGCCTGCCCATCTCTCTCCCTTAAACATCCACATGACCTCCTTGGGCCCGTGGGCTCCAGGCCCAAGTGACTTCTTCTCATCTCCTGACTATGTTCATCGGCCCGTCCAACCCCTCCTCCTCTCCACTGGCTCATGTTTCCATTTCCCATCAACGTGGTGGACAGGGCTGGTCACCTACTCCCAAAGTCGTCCCCGATATGTGAACAGAATCCCGACTGTTACCCCACCCCCTGGGCAAGTCCCCGAGCTCCCTCAGGACAGGCCCACCTCCAAGCTAGTGGGCAGGTCCCCGTTATCCTCAGCCAATCCCAAAGGGCCTGTCCCCCTTGCAGGTAACTGGATCCGTCACAAGCTTGGGGCATATTGTTGGCCAGTGTTCTCCAAGAGGTAGGAAGTTAAGAAGTTTCTGGAAAAGGTGTTTCTCCCTTCTATTCAAAGAAGCCCCAAACAGGGCTGGGGGCCTAGCTCAGTGGTACAGCTATGGGAGATGCTGGGTTTATCCCCCTACCAGAAAAAAAAAAAAAAAAGACAGATCGTTCCTTCCCACTATGGATAGTCTTGTCCGCATGGGACACCTGCTGTCACTGTCTGGTACCATTGCTGGGGCCCTGATGCGCTGGAGATGACTGAGCAAGTCGGGGAGCAGGCAGACTGGCTTCTTGGTCACATCACTGAGCCGGAATTCCTCATGAGGACATACCTCGTTTACTTCAATGACATAGTTGGGGTGAAGGGGAAATCCCCCAGAGGGTCACTGAATCACTCTGAAATTTGTGTCAGGAAGGACAAGCAGACAGGAAGAGAGAAGACTGGAGCAAAGGGGAAATACAGAGATGCAGGGAGACAGTGAGATGCCCCCGTCTTCAGAAGCCAAATCCCACCAAATGCTTTGATGTCATTGGATTTTTTTCTTCTCCCCCCAGAAATCTGCTGAGAGCTGCTAGACTCCACACCTGGAGCCGTATGGGGTGAAGAAGAAACAGCATCTCCACGGGCCTCAGGAGCAGAGAAGCTGAGTTCTCCGTGAAGACGGAGTTTCACCCTGAACTTGGCGGTAAGAGGCACCTTGTCCACGTTCCCTGAACCATGGCGGGAGGAACGGGCCAAAGCAGGACGGCGGGAGGATTAAAAACTCACGCTGGGCAACCGGGAAAATCTGCACGTAGCCCACCTGTGCCAGGTCACTGAACGCTGGGAGTCTCAGTCTTCTCATGGAGCACATGGAAAAGCCTGCCTCAAAGGTGGGAGGCTGGGGAATAAATAAAACTGAACTTGACAGCTAACCCAAAGTAGGTGTCCCGGGGCACCTGATAGTAGAGAGGTCTCCGAGTGAGCCCTGTGTTGGTTCCCCGCATCCTTAGTTCACCTTCTGAGCCTTGCACATTGTTTGATGTCTTAAAAGTGAATTGGGAAGTCGTGGAGGCACGTGCCTAAAAACCCAGCAGCTTGGGAGGCTGAAAGGCAGGAGGATTGCCAGTTTGAGGCCAGCCTCAGCAACTTAGCAAGACCCCTGTGTCTAAATAAAAACAAAAATTTTTTAAAGGGCTGGGGATGTGGCTCAGTGGTTAGGCGCCCCTGGGTTCTATTCCCAGTACCAAAAAAAAAAAAAAAGTAAATTGGGCCAGGTGTGATAGCAGCACACGCCCGAAATCCCAGTGACTTGGGAGGCTGAGGCAGGAGGATCGCAAGTTCAAAGCCAGCCTCAGCAACTTAGCAAGACCCTGTGTCAAAAAAGTTAAAAGGGTTGGGGATGTGGCTCAGTGGTTCAATGCTCTGGGTTCAATCCCTGGTACAAAAAAAAAGAAAAAAGAAAGAAAGAAAAAGAAAAAGAAAAGAAAAGAAAGGAGATTGGGAGGCTTCCCTGCTACCTGCTCAGCAATTTCCCAGCAGATGATACCTTGAGCAGTTTCATGGGAAGCGCATTCTGGGCTGTGATGGGTCTGAGACACTGATTCCTTCAAAGCAGTTGACAACTGTAATAACTGGTGGTGCTTCGTGTCACTGCCACGTCTGAACACCTGAGAGTCCACCCTCTCGATGTCGGGGAGCGGTGACACCCTGCCGAAGCCGGGCTTCACCCGTGTCCTTTCTGGAAAAATCTGATTGGAGGACGGACGGCTTTCGGCCCCAGACGGCACATTCTCTACCTCTAGCACGATTTCGTTTACCCAGTCATCCGACAGCATCTCTCGCTTCCTGCTGGCTGGGTCCTGCAACCTGGGTGCGGTCTTCAGAGACCTCACGCAGCGGTCACACCAGCGTGGCCCAGACCCAGCCGGGGGAGAGTGGCCGCCATCACAAAGGGATGCTCCATTCACACTTTTCCAAAGCCAAGACCAGACCACTGAAGCCAGCCCCCCCACCCCCCAACAAGTCACAAGAGAACTCCCCACATCTGGCCCCTGAGGGGGGTCTCCTCAGAAGGAGTTGTGTTCTCCTGCAGAGAATTCTATCTTGGTAGCTAGGTCAGAAATTAGAAACAGAATCCTTCATTGGAGACAATGGGATTCTAGAAACAGAGGACAGACATTCTTTTGATATCTCATAATCAAAGGGCGACTTTCACAGCCAGCGGTGGTGGGACACACCTGTAATCACAGCGGCTCAGGAGGCTGAGGCAGGAGGATCGCTCATTTCAAGGCCAGCCTCAGCAACTTAGCAAAGTCTCTAAATAAAATATCAAAATGGGCTGGGGATGTGACTCAGTGGTTTAAGTGCCCCTGAGTTCAATCCCCAGTTCCAAAAAAAAAAACAGGCAACTTGTTTTTTCTTTTTTAGTTTAATTGTTTGGTCTAGAACTTATAGTTTTATACATTTATATAAAAACCAGATATGTTGATACTGTTCCAATGATTCTCTCCTGACTGCCTCTGATGATGGACACAGCTGTCTGTCTGCTTCTCAGTATCCATTCTTTTTTCTCCTATGAGCAGGAATTACATTTCCTGAGTGGACGTGGGATTCTCCCAGCTCCCTTTGCGGCTAAGAGTGGACAAGTGACCCACTTTCAGGCATGTGACCTCAGGAATGCTCTTTAAAGGGGATAGTGTACCTGGCTTCGCTTCTGCCCTTTACCATGCCCCTCTTGTACCTGGGGGCATCATCTGAGTTATTTAACAAGAGGTTAAATATTCACCTGCTAAAGACGGTGGAGAAAGCTACAGGGGAGTTTCAGTCCTCGAAGACATCACGGGAAAAAAATACTTTGGACTTTCTCCCTCTACTCTTCTTGTTACAGGAGAAAAAAAATCAATCCCTTTATTGCTAAATCCATTGTTCCATTTTAATGCCAGACACCTGAACACACTTCCCACCCAACAGATTTAGACATCACCTAGGTCAGCTTGTTGATGGGATAGTTGGAGGAAGGGTGGTGCAGAGAGAGGAACTGAGACCCCCTCCCGTCACATTCTTTAAATGGGAGGATTGGACTAGAACTCAGGAACTCCCACTAGTGAGGATGATTGACAGTAATGATTCCTGCTGATTCTGCAGGTCAAGTACTTGAAATAGAGCGTATCATCACATTTTCCCAATCACCCTGTGAAGTTGGTACTATCGTCAACCCCCTCTTAGAGCTGAGAAAACAGAGACTCACCGGGTGCGGTGGTGCATACCTGTCATCCCAGCACCTTGGGAGGCTGAGTCAGGAGGATCAAAGCCAGCCTCAGCCAAAGCAAGGCACTAAGCAACTCAGTGAGACCCTGTCTCTAAATAAAATGCAAAATAGGGCTGGGGATGGGGCTCAGTGGTCGAGTGCCCCTGAGTTCAACCCCTGGTCCCATCCTCACCCCCAGAAGAAAAAGAAAATAGAGGCTCAACGGGGTTAATTTACCTAGGCTCACAAGCCATCAAAGAGTCATACCTAGGTGGGTCTGAACCCAAAGCAGGGGCTCTTGATCACTTCCCCTTGGCCCCATCCTGTTACAAGATGCCACTGCGACATTCATTCTTTAATAAATGAATAAGTACCTATGAGTGCCTACTGCATGCCAGGGGCTTCTGGGGGCACAGCATAATCCATCACAGTGACACTCTGTCATGAAGCTGTCCACCAATTAATTGCACAAGGTTTGAAAATCAGAAGCAATGCAAGGCAAAAAGAGCAAAGAAAGCCACATCTTCTATTTCTTTATTTACTTTTTGTTTTTTGGTTCCGGGACTGAACCCAGGGGTGCTTAACCTCTGAGCCACATCCCCGGCCCTTTCTATGTTTTATTTTGAGACAGGGTCTCTCTAAGTTGCTTACAGCCTCTCTAAGTTGCTGAGACTGGCCTCAAACTTACAATCCTCCTGCCTCAGCCTCCTGAGCCACTGGGATTACATGCATGAGCCTCCATGCCTGGCTCCCTGTGCCTTTTAAGTGTCCTTCTACCGGAGACCCTGAACCTCATGCTGGCCCCACAGAGCAGTCTTCAGGAGGCCAAAGGGCCCCCTCTCACCGATGGTTAAAGCCATTCTACGCTCCAGTGAGTCTAGAGTGCGGCTGTCATTTATATCTGCGTGGGTTTCCCTCCCAGGCAGCAATACCTAGCCACTGTGAAAGATACATGCCCCCTTGAGAAGGTTCTGGAAGGATGAAGTTCAGGATTATCCATCGCCTCTGGGGCTGAAAGTGGAGAGACAGTTTTAAGTCAGAGTCTCTCAATTTGCATTATTATGGAAAGATCCCATTAATTTATTCCTTCTAATTCACAGGCTTAACATTTTGGTGCCAGTATTCCTGTTTCCTTCTCCTCTAAGGCACGGTTACTTGGTCTTTGCCTCCAATCAGGTCTTTGGGACCCCACACAGCGATCCTCAGCTTTCCTAACTGACTTCAAAGACTCCCATCTGTCACTAGCCTGATTCCAACTCAACCGTCACATTAATGGATGATCATTCAGAAAAAGAGAATTTTTTTTTTTTTTTTTTTTTTTTTTTTTATCAGAGCACCTTGTCCCCACCAACACAGACAATAGCCACAGGACAGACAGGTGACCCAGTCTCGTCTCCTATGACACATGGAGACGTCTGGGTGTCTGTGCTCCTAATAGGCTGGTTAGAGTCTTTGTCCACATGGATGAACAGACGGGGAGAAGGAAGAGCCTTCTAAGTGAGGTAGCTGGGCGGAGGGGGGTCTGTGTGGCCCATGGCCTGACGCTGAAGCTTATAGAGAAGCTGGGTCAAGCAGAGGCAAACACTGGGCGGGCAATGAGCGAATCAGGTGGCACTGAGCACTGCGTTCAGATTCGGAAGCCCTGGTCTCCCTCAAAAATTAACCCAGCAGACAGCTCTAAAGTCCCTTTACCTGTTAGGCGCTGCGGGAGGTTTTTTAAGTGGCTCCACGCCCTTCCCACCACATGAGCCAATAAGTTCCCTCTGGGCTACCTCCTTTTGGAATTGGGTTTCTGTCCCTTGCAACCAGAAGATTCCTAATGAAGACACCTGGATACCCACAAGAGCTAAAGCCACACGTCTAAAGACACCACCAAGGGCTGGGGGTGTTGCTCAGGGGTGGGGCACACGCTTAGCATGTGCAAGGCCCTGGCTTCAACCAGAACCCAGTACAGAGAGGGAGAGAGAGGGAAATGCACTATGCCAACTCAGCAAGCGTTGCCCCATTCCTCCAACCCAGGAACGGCCATTGCTGGATCTCCAAGTTGCCTTGAGCCATCTCCTTCCCCAGGGCTGATGTCCGTTCCTGCTCCATTAACTCTTACCTTCAGGTGACTTGTGCCAATCACCTGCAGACAGCGGTGGGTTTCCATAGGCACAGACAGGGCCACCTTCGCCCACATACGCAGGGTTCACTGGAATGAAGAGGAGGAAGGCATGGCAGGTTATTCCCAGCCCACCCAAGGGTCCTGAGCACGAGGTGGTGATGAGGCGCGAGCCCTAGCTGGTCACGGTCCCTAACACTGAGACCTGGTCTTCGAGGTTCCTACAGACCCATGGCTGGGAACTCAGGTGGAAAATAGTATAAAACCAGATAAATAATACGATGGAGCATAATCAGCCTGGACTCTAAGCCATGGATCAAAAGAATCGTCACCCTGGGACCCGGGACACACGTACACTGACATAACTGAAAAGCAAGTTTCAAAAAACTGAACTTTGAAGGCCTAAGCTGCACTCGGACACGTTCCTACTCGATTCTATTCTTTTCTATGTCAATTTCTAATTTTATTTTAATTCTATTTCACTGAAAAAAAAATTCCTTGTGCAACTTGGTAATGAGTTGCAACTCAAGAGTCTGAAAGATGCTCCCAGAGGTGAGGGCAAAGGTTCCTTCCAGGTGCAGAGCTTCCTGATGATGCATGAATGGACAAAATGTGGAGTACTTCCTTGGGGACGGAGTCCAATCTCAGCATGTACATGACAGTGTCACATTTCAATATTTATTTTCGGTCCATGATAAACATTAAAGGTAACCTCCTCCATTGAGAAAACAGATCACCTGTCGATGGGGACAGTGTGTAAAATTACATTGCGGAACGTTCTGGAACTTCTTGTTTGGGAATGATTCCCAGTCCTGTTCCTTACCAGCTGTTGTTACTGGGCATGTTACTTAACATCTCTGAGCTTCAACATCTTAATTTCTAAAGTAGGGGTAAATAATATAACTTTCACATAAGGTAGTTGGAATTGAACCAGCTAATACATATAAAGTGATTAATCCTGGAACATAATAAAATGTTATTATGTATTAACTATTGTAGTCAATTAATTGCTGTTCAGTAAATATTATGCCTCACCCCACCTGGGCCACCTCCATTGACGTTGGGCTTGGTGGTAGGATTTTCTTTTATGAATATAACACAGCAGATGTGACATGGCAGTTCTAAGCCAATGCTATAAAATCATTGTGAGTTTCTGCTTGCTGCTTCAAGCAAATCCAACTTATGCCATGGGAAGAAATTGCCCCGGGTAGCTCACCAGTCCGAGAAGAAGGACACTAGGTCTAATCAGAACACATGACCTGGAGCTAAGCACAGCCAAACTCAACCCAGTGCAACCCAAACCCAGCCAACCCTGCAGATGTTAGTGAGAAATAAATTTATTGTATGTTTATGGTATGAGTCTGGTTTGGGGGATTGTTTGTTACACAGCATTCCTAGGGTGAGTGCTGACACAGTTCATGTAGTTGCTTCTATTAATTCAGTTAACATTACTCATGCATCTAGTTTGTGCCAGGCACTAGGAAAACCACCTAGAACCTTAGAAGAGACACACACAAATATGGGAATATGGCTTCTTCTCCTTTTCCTTCTCCTCTTTTTCATCTTTTACAATTCTGGGTATTGCTCTACCACAGAGTCACATCCCCAGCCCCGTTTTGTATTTCTATTTTAGAGACAGGGTTTCATTGAGTTGCTTAGTGCCTCACTTTTGCTGAGGCTGGCTTTGAACTCATGATCCTTCTGCCTTGGCCTCCCCAGCCACTGGGATTACAGGCGTGCAAAATAGAAAATAAAAGGGCTGGAGATGCGGTTCAGTGGTTAAGTGCCCTGGAGTTCAATTCCCAGTACAAAAAAAAAAAAAAAAAAAGAATGAGTAGGTGATTGTCAAGGGCTACGACTAGTTCTACAAAGAAGTCCAGGGAAGGAAGCCACACTTGATGGCTTTTTTCTTTTTAAGATTTTAATTTCCAGTATTCTCTACAGCTAGGTGGTCAGAAATCTGCATGTACCCTGCAGTATCCTCTGTAATGCAGGGCAAATAAAGGGTCCGGCTTCGAGCTGGAGAGCCTGGATTCCACTCTTGGCTCTGTGGGTTTGGTGGCTGGGTGACTCCCATCAGTCAAGGCAGAGTGGCAGGCTTTGGGTGGTGGCCGTGCAAGTCAATGAAAGGCAAGTGCTCAGCAGGGTCTCAGGGCAGAGAAAACCCTCAGTCCTGCTCAGAACATTCCTCTGCCAGCAGTGTTTACTGATCTTTCCCCATTATCCACCCACCCTGGAGACTTTGTAGTCGGTCCCCTCAATGCCCCCCCTCCCCCAGGAAAACTTAATACCACAGGAGCCTGTGTATCTATTTACGTATTCTCTGTGTGTAGGAGCTTTAAAAAAAATGATATGTTTAATAACAAAACATAAAAATAATATATTTTCCCCTCTGGCTTTTCAAGAACAAACCGCCCCTCCACTCTCCTCGGGATGACTACTGCCTTCTATGGAGAATGCATGGCACGAAGGTCTGGAATATTCCTGAGCTGAACTACTGAGGTTTGGACTCCCAAATGGATATTTCCCATGCAAATGTGTTCCAGTGCTTCCCATTAGTACAGAGGGTCTCTGACTCATTATTGGATCTTTGGATTCTATGTGGGTGGGAAAGTGCTTTGCATGCAGTAATGCAAATTTTGAATTTTGAGGGCTGGGGATGTAGCTCAGTGGTAGAGTGCTCTCTTGGCTGTGTGTGAGGCCCTGGATTCCATCCTCAGCACAAAGGAGGAGGAGGAGGAGGAAAGAAAGGGAAGGAGGAGGAAAGGAGGAGGAGGGGGAGGGGGAGGGGGAGGGGGAGGGGAGGGGGAGGATGAGGGGGTGGAGGAGGGGGAGGAAGAGAAGAAGAAGGAGGAGGTGGAGGAGGAGGGAGGAGGAGGAGGGGGAAGAAAGGGAAGGAGGAGGAAAGGAGGAGGAGGGGGAGGAGGAGGGGGAGGGGAGGGGGAGGATGAGGGGGTGGAGGAGGGGGAGGAAGAGAAGAAGAAGGAGGAGGTGGAGGAGGAGGGGGAAGAAAGGGAAGGAGGAGGAAAGGAGAAGGAGGGGGAGGAGGAGGAGGGGGAGGAACTGGGGGAGGAGGTGGAAGAGGTGGAGGAGGAGATGGAGGTGGGGGAGGAGGAGGAGGAGGAGAGGGAGGAGGAGGAGGGGGAGGAGGAGGAGGGGGAGGAGGAGGAGGAGAGGGAGGAGGAGGAGAGGGAGGAGGAGGAGGGGGAAGCTGGGGGGGCAGGAGGAGGAGGAGGAGGAGAGGGAGGAGGAGGAGGGGGAGGAGGAGGAGGAGGGGGGAGCTGGGGGGGCAGGAGGAGGAGGAGGAGGAGAGGGAGGAGGAGGAGGGGGAGGGGGAGGGGGAGGAGAGGAGAATACTGAAACTTTCCAGGCTAGAATACGATGCGTGATTCCAGATGCTGGGCAGCGGCAGCAGTTCGCAGCTCCCATTAGCTCCTGTGATCACAGGGGCACAGCGCTGTACTGTATGCTGCGTAGCTGGGCTGAGTATTCCCTAGGTCAGGTATATGCAGCCTCAATCATTGATGAGGATTTCTCAGGACGTGACCCCATCATGGGCCAGCGAGCATGTGTCCATGGAGGTATATCCTGACCATCCTCTCTGCCTCCTCAAAACTCCCAGCCTCCGAGGCTGGTCAGGCCTCCCTCTGCACCTCCCAGCACGGCTGATCTAGGTCGAACCCCCCTCCCCTTCTGGCCCCCACAGGCTCTAGATTCCCGTAACACTGCCTGGGTTTTTCCTCTTTTATCATGAACTAGTTTCTCCAAAGAAGCAAACAGTTCCTTTTCCCACCTGGAAGGTAAGAATGTGGATTTGCCAGCCTCCTAAACTATAAGCTAAATAAACCTCTTTTTTTAGGCCAGGCACGGTGGTACACGCCTGTAATCCCAGCAACTTGGGAGACCGAGGCCAGAGGATCGTCAATTCAAAGCCAGCCTGGACAACAGAGTGAGACCCTGTCTCAAAATAAAAATAAGTAAAGGAATCGATAAGGGCTGGGGGTGTAGCCAAGTGGTAGAGAATCTTGGGTTAAATTCCTAGGACTACAAAAATAAACGAATAAATAAGTAAAAGATATATAAACCTCTTTAAAAAATAAAGGTCCCAGCATCAGGTATTTTACTAAAGCAACAGAAAGTGGACAGGAGTTTTTTTACATAGTTGTTTTGTTTGTGTGTGTGTGTGTGTGTGTTTCTGTTTTCTTTGAAAACTCTCAGGATCTCATCATGCTGAGCCTGTTCCTACCATAACCACCATGGGCCAATGTTAGGGTCTGTAAACAAGTCTGGATGGCGCCTGGCATTTTGCCAGAGGGAGTGGTTTGTGAAGTAACGCCAGCGAGCCATTAAGTGTGGAGATTCCTTATTGGTTGACTGCTGTATCTAGTTTAAGTTAATTAAGATAAGCTGTGTGGAATGTATATACACCCCTCCTGTCCTACAATAAACGGCTCCCACTCCTGCTGTATCAATGTACACAAGTTGCTCGTCACCCCCCAGTTATTTTGCTGCAGCCGGACTGTGGCAGGCCAGACTGAACTTCAGCACCTTGGGTAGGCACAGGGTGAACAGGCTTCCATTTTTCACACGCCTTCCCTGGCCTACTTTGATAATTGATGACACGTGGCTTCCCTGGACAGAGTTCCCAACTCTTGTGTCTAAGGAGAGTGTTTGAGGCGGGAGGGATGAGCCAACTCTTCTATTGCTATGACTGCTTAATGATAGCCTCCTGAGCCCACTGGATTTTATTTCCTTCCCAGAGTGCGATCCTCCTGTTAAGACGCCCTTACCATAGCCCTTTCCAGGAGCACCTGGCAGAGATGGGTCGCGTGGATCTGCCATCTCCATGGACGTCATTTCAAAACTTCCAGGGTAATCTTCACTCTCTCTCCTAAGGACGCCCAAGGAGGCATTACTCCTGCAATGGAATGAGGGCAGGGTTGAAGATGTTTTACTAAGCACTGTAAAATCTCAAAATATGGGTCACCATCCATCCAGTAGTGTGGTGAGGACAGCTGTCCGTCTGTCTGTCCATGAATCCATCCACCCATCCATTCACTCATCTACCTATCAATCCATATACCACTCATCTATTCATCTACTCATTCATCTGTTCATCCATTTACCCACTTATCCATCTATCCATCCACCCATTCATCCACTCATCCATCCATCCATCCATCCATCTATTCATCTATCCATCTATCCACCCATTCATTTATCCACCCATCCACCCATCCACCCATCCACCCATCCATCCATCTATCCATCCATCCATCCATCCATCCATCCACCCATCCACCCATCCATCCATCCATCCATCCACCCATCCACCCACCCACCATCCATCCATCCCACAAATGCTGACTGAAAGCCAACAATATGTGAGGCATGGGCTTGGTAGTGAGGGCACCAAGAGAAAGACCGGGGGTATTTGCCCCCAAGAGACTCCCAACACAACCTGGCACAGCTTCTTAGAGACAGCAATGAGTAATTATAATACGATCAGAAATTAGTGAGTATCAGGAGACAGGTCCAAGGAATTCAGAAGAAGGAGAGAGGAATTCTGGCTGGGAGTTTTAGAGGGAAATCTTTATGGAAAAGAGACATCTGAGAGGAGACTGGAAAGATAAATTCATATCTCACACAGGGGAGGGCATTGCAAGTATAAGAAACAGCATAAATAAAGGCATGAGGCCAGAAACTGTTGAATACATAAAGGGAAGGCTATAAAAATCAATTAACCTGTGGCAAAGATTGTTGATTTTATGTATACCATTTCCCAAGCCCCATCCCAGACAATTGAATCAGAAGCTCTGAAGGTTGGGCTCGGGCATCTGTATTACGTTTAAAGTTCCCCAGGTGATATAATAATTCTGAGGATCAGTCAAGGTCAAGAGCCAGAGACCTGGAGTGTAGGGTTCAGACAGGAAGAGGACAGGAGAAATAGATGAGTGATCGGGCTAGCCCTGGGCTGCAGTTCTCTGTTAGCACAGTGTATCCTCCTTCATAGATAAGAAGTGTGTTCAGTAGATAAGAAGTGTGGCCTTTGTCCCCCAGGCTATGGGGACCGAAGGACTATGCAAAGCAGAGGAGTGACAGAATCAAAGGTGTATCTTAGAATGATGACTCAGATAGCTGGGCAGAAGACTAAGGGGGACATTTTGACCTGAGCAAGCTAATCCTGCTATTTACGTCCTAAAGGCGTTTGACTCCGCACACCCAAATCCTAGAGACAGACATAAACCACTGCTTTTAGTGACTTCATAAATATCACTGGTAAAAACAGTATCAGTTAAAATTTCATATGGGGTCTGAGGGGGCAGCTCAGGGGCAGAGCACTGGCCCAGCATGTGCAAGATCCTGGGTTCCATCCCCTGCACGACGATAAATAAACAAAAATAAAACAAATTTTCAGAGGACAAAATTTGTTATAGTTTTTTGTTTTTGTTTTTTTTAAAAAACCTGACTAAAGTTTCTTGCTTGATGTTCACTGTTGTTAAAATGAACATCAAAAAATTTCATCCAGGGAGAATTCAATTTGGCAGAACCAAATCACTCGAATAAATGCTATCAGTGCCAGAACTGCAAAAGTTGACAGAAGTTCAAAATCCTTTAAAGAAAATTTAGATCTACAGCATCTAAACCAGGCAAAATTAGATTTGGTGTTTTTAAGTGACCTTAAAGAGATTTGAGTGTGGTGGCACATTCCCTTTCATCCCAGGTACTTGGATGACTGAGGTGGAAGGAGGGCAGATTGGAGGCCAACCAGGGCAATTTAGCAAGACACTGTCTCAAACCAAACAACAACCAAGTGCGGTGGCACATGCCTATAACCCCAGCAATTATGGAGGCTGAAGCAGGAGAATCCCAAATTCAAAGCCAACCTCAGCAATTTAGTGAGGCCCTAAGCAACTTAGTGAAGTCATAAGCAATTGTCTCTAAATAAAATATTTTTTTAAAGGGCTGGGGATGTGACTAAGGAGTTAAGCACCCCTTGGTTCAATCCCTGGTGCCAAGAAGAAGAAAAAAACAACTATAGAGGTAAATGACTAAGTCACTTGCAGCGACAAGGAAGAGGTAGAGAGTAAGGAGGTGATCCAGGCAAGAGGTGGAAAGATTAAGTTCAGGTAAGGACTTTGAGCCTCAGACTGACAGTTGATGGCCCGGGTGATATGGACAGGTAGGTCTGACAGTTTCACAACTTCAGGCTATAGAAACCTTAATCAAATACCCATCCATAATCAAAGCCACATAATGGAACTCCATTGACTTGTTGATCTAGCAGTCAGTCCCACCAATGAAGGAGTATATTTGAACTTACCTCCTGGTCATTTCCCGGGTCTCAGAAGGGCCATAACCATGAATACTCTTGGCTCCTGGGTAATCAGGTTCCCCAAAAATGTTTGGAGAATTCCGATAATCCTCAGCACTGGGATAGTCTGGTTCCCCCCAAATGTGTGGAAAGTTAGTTTGATTCTCAGCACCTGGATAATCAGGCTCTCCCGGGTCGTCTATATATGAATTGATTCTGGAACCAGCAGGTTCTTGATTCCTTCTTGAGCCTGGATGGTTGGAATTGGCTCTGGGGCCAGAATGGCTAGAGTTGTCCTGTGCTCCGGGGTAGTCAGGATTTGCCAGGGATCCCAAATAACCTGGGTTTATCCTGGAACCTGGGTAGTTTCCACTACTTCTGGAACTTGCAAATTCAGCATTTCGTTGAGATCCAGGGTAATCTGGTTCTCTGGATGAGCCTGGATGGTATGGCTGGCTCTGAGATTCAATATAATCTGGCTCTGGCAGAGATCTGTGATAGTCTGGACTTGTTCTGGAATCTTCAGAATAGGGATTGTTCCTGGCACCAGGATAATCTGGTTTATTTGGAGATCCAGGATAATCTGGTTCTGTGAGAGACACAGGATAGTCTGGATTTGTTCTGGAGCCTGCAGAGAATGGATTGTTCCTGGTGCTGGGATAGCCTGGATTGTCCTGAGGACCTGAGAAGTCTGGATAATCGTGAGTTTTTAAATGCCCTCGAGTACGGCCTTGAGACCTTGAATAGTCAGGGTGCTCTGTGTCGCCGTTGAGGCTGTTATTCCTGTAGTAGGCTGACATGATGGCACAGACTCTTTACCCCAGAGTGTTAAAACGTTCCTGTGTTTGTAGTCCCTTTGGGATCTTTTATAAACCTGAAAAAAAAAAAAAAAGGAAAAATTAAGATTTTTTTCCCCGCTTTCTTCTTTGCAAAGATTGCTGGTTATCTTCCAGTTATCTCTTCTCACATAGCTGGGTGCACAGCTGCCTAGAGCAAAGACCATGTTTCCCAGGCTCCTTTGCACCAGCTGTGGCCATGACAGAGGTCAGTGGGATGTGAGTGGATGCAATTTATGCAACTTCCAGATTGTGCGGTTAAAGGGAAGGGTCATTCCTCCCTGTCTAGGCCTCCTTACTTCCTGTGGACTGGTTGTGGATATGTGCAGCATGGAGCATGCACACTAAAGCAGCATCTGCTTCAGGGACAGCAGCACTGTGTGTGGAGAGAGCCTGGGTCATCTGTGACTTCCTGGGGCAGAGCCTTCATATCAGCCCAGACTCTCGTGGGAGAGAGAATGAACTTTTATATCTTGTTTCAACTACTGTTTCTCTGTGTATTGCACACATGCAACGGGAATGATCTCTTAAACAATGCATTCCCTTGGTTGGGGCAAAAGGAGCAATGAATCTAAGGATTAGAAGGAACTGGAACTTTTGAGGCATTTTGCTTGCAATCCTGTTTCTAGGGATAAAGACAGAATGGTGACAATTGCTATGACCTCTTCCAGCTTGAAAATATGATTGGTGAGTCCCCTGAGCTCTCATCTGCAGACACAGCATACTTCCCAGTCAGAAGTGATGAGGTTAACTCCTAGAACATTTGTATTTTCCTACATGTTTACCCACTTCCCCTTCTTTTCCAATCAATGCCGATTTTCCTCAAACCATCTTCCCTTCTCCCACCCTTGGTCCAAGTGGAACAGGAAGGGTTGATGGCACCCCTGACCAACTCCAGGGAGGTCACATGACCCAGGCCTGGCCAATCAGTGTCCATCAACCCCTTGTCCCCAGGATTTGACTCATCAGCCCTTCAGGACGTGGACCAGACTGGGAGAGGGATGGTCTTATTTTGAGAGACAGGACATCAGCCTGCAGCACCTGGTGTGGTTGTCAGTGGGAACAGAGAAGAAAATACATAGGGGAGAAAATTTAAATGAAGAGTCAGTAGGGGATTTGTTGGCTAACCCAATATGGGAAGAATACAAATTAAAAGGGAAATAAAAAACAAACAAACAACAAAAAAAAAACATCTCTCCAGTTTCAAGTCAGCATGATTAGAATATGGTGATGCTTTGGAAGAAGGAAGTAGAACATTCTTGAAGCTCTGCCAACTTTACAAGTTTATCTCTATGTAAATGACAAAGGCCTCAACCTTATCAAAGCTAAAGACAATATTAACTTTCTGCGGTCCCCTGTGGTTTCAGTGTTAGTTTGCCAACTTGTTCCCACAAGTCTTGGCTTAGCTGAAGTCTGTTCTTCTTTATTTTGTTTCTGCCCAGCATCCATTGTTCCCTTTGGGGGTAACATGTTTTGTTGAGTACCTCACCCCGAGACCCTGCAGGCCAGGACCTCATCTGAATGATTTTCTTCCTAGCCACGGTGATGGGGTCAAAGCATATAACCCAGTCAGAGCCAGTGAGCTTCAGATCTGGGAGATATGTCAGAACTGTAGGAAAGAGAGAAGCTCTGTCTTTCCCTGGAGCTTGGAGTTAGGAAGTTTTAGTCTGGAGCTGCCAGTGGTTACCACTGGAGAAGGTTTTCCTAAGATTGCCAACGAGGAGAGAACAGAGCCAAGAGATAGACAGGATGAATGATCAGGGCTGATGAACTGTTAAAGCACCTGGACATAGCTATGCCTGAAGGCAGATGCCCAGTGGATACCTGAACCCTTAAATTATTATTTTTTTTTCCTAAGCAGAGCTGGGTTCTCTGTGATTTGCAAATGAAAGAGAATTCTGACTAATGAATGAGTTTCGCAAGCAGGAACATCTGTACAAACTGCAGTGCTGTGAAGACTGAATGTTATGCTGAAATAATTGAAAATTATTTCTCATAACATAGAAATAGAACCCATTTCTTCATATGTATCCCAATAGTAGCCCAGTTCCTATAACTCCCGCGGTGTGCCAACACATATGACATCTAACAAAGCTAAATGATTTTGGATGGGGCAAAGGGGAGTGGGGAGGGAGCAGAGAGGTTGGAAAGATGGTGGAATCAGATAGACATCATTACCCTAGTTACATGTATGATTGCTCGAATGGTGTGACTGCTTCATGTACAACCAGAGGAGTGAAAAATTCTGCTCCATTTGTGTACAATGAATCAAAAAGCTTTCTACTGTCATACATAAGTGATTAGGACTAATTTTTTTAAAAAAAGCTAAATGATGCCAAGAAATTAAAAATAGATACAGGTATACCAGCTCAAGAGAAATGAGTCTATCTACCAAAAGATGACAGGAATGTTTACAGAAACTTTTTTTTTTTTTCCTAAAAGCCAACCATTTGAAAAACACACAAATGTCATCCAACAGCAGAATAAGTCAATGAATTTTGCCCCATTCATACCATGTGAAATACTATTCAGCAATAACAAACTCTAAACTTCTGGGCTGTAGGTGTAGCGCTGTGGTAGCAGGCTTTACCCTGCATGAGTGAGGCTCTGAGTTCCATCCCCAGCACCTCCAAAAAGTAAAAAAGGAACAGAGGTGGAACTTCTGCAGAATACAATGCATGGGGGAGTCTCATAGATTTAAGGGTGAGGGAAAGACAGCTGGACACAAAAGAGCAGTAAGGTCCAACATGACCCAAGTTCAAGAGCAAGTGAACTGACACACGGTGATGCAAGGCAGAACAGGGAGCATCTGGGGAAGGAATGGAGGGGGGCGGTGGCCACTCCCTCGTTCCTTCACAACACAGTATCACAGCTGTTCACATAGCTCTAACTAATCTAGAGATGTCTTAAACTACACAGCAGGATTGTGTGAGGCATATTTAAATACTAAGCCATTTTCCATCAGAGATTTGAGCACCAAGGATTTTGATATCTGTGTGGGGTCCTGGAATCAATCCCCGTAGATACTGAGAGACAATTACACAGAGAGAATGTGTATATTTGCTCAGATATGTAAATACACCTAAGTCTACACCTATAACAAGTTGTAGGTGTATATGCATTCGTATAACACACGCCCAGAGCATGGATAATAGGTAGGTAAGTCGATGACAGGTATATACATGAGGGAGAGAGGGGACCTCTAGCTCCTGCCCACGGGTTCGCATCTCTGATCCGTGGCCACCAACAGGAGCAGGCGGGCTACAGGCTCCGTCACAGGCCAGGCCAGGCCTGAAGGGTGAATGCCGCTCTAACGGTTATGGCCTACACTGGGACAAATTCCTAAACAAACAGAAACTAAGTCCACAGGAAAGGGTTGTGAGAGAAAGGACAAGAAAATAGTCTCCAACCGATCATCAAAGGACATGGGAGTGACCCTCTGGGACCCTTCCTCCTGGCTTCCTATTCACTCTAGAGGAGCAGATAACTAGGCCACCCTTCCTTGGCGCCTTGGAAAAAGCTTGGAGAGGGGACCGTGTGTTAGTTCTTGCTTCTCCAGCACCTTCTCAGTAGGGCTAGTGAGCCCTCTATGCCAATTAGGGTCACTCGCTCTGCTGGCTCAATGGCTTTCAGTCACTCCCCCCAGCAGTGACATGCCTTCCCTGGGCTGTCCCGGAGAACTCCTTATTTGACTCTGCAAGGCTCCCTGGTTTGAACGGGTCATTTTAGCAATCCGGTGTTTGCCACTCGATAGTCCAGGAATCTTGAGGGGTAAATTACCCTTGAACTTGAATGAGGCCACATTCAAGGCCACATTTACCTGGCTCTGTGCTGCATCCGAGTTCTCACAAGACAACCCAGGCCCAGGCCAGCCGCCAGCAGCCTCCGTATCACCAAAGTCATCTCACAGAGCACAGGAATGGGAATCACTAAGGGTCATCAGGCCAGCCCGGCATGGAAGACAGACAAACTGGAAACAACCCAAAGCCACCAGGAGACGTTAGGTCCAGGAGGTTCGAATGGCAGAAGATCACGGAGTACTCATAAAGAAGGCTTCAGATGGGCACGTACCAGATGATAAATGGCCCCAATCAGCAAAATCAATCTTTGGTCACTTCATGGTCTGCATGACCACAGTGATCTAGTTTAGGCTGGGGACAGTTTAGGTGATGGGACAAAGACGGGACATTTTATCTTCAAACTCTTTGTCCCATCTCCTGCCCCAGGCCTCGGCTAGAACACTGCAGTCATGCAGGCTGCGAAATGACCAAAGGTTAATTTTGCTGATTGAGGCCATTTATTAACTGGTACACAGAAAAGACAGGCCAGGGCTTGTGAAACCGGCCAACTATTCAGCACCCAATGCAGGAGGAAGTCTCCCCACAGGAAAGAAAGCAAAGCCACAATTTCTAATTTCCCTGTATGTTTTATTTGCTAAGGGGGTGAACTTGGCCATGGCAACACACGACAGGGTAAACATTTCAACCTGAATGAAATCAGTGCTCTTATTGCTAGTGATGAAAATCTTCTGTTTTGAAACATACAATGTTTTATTGTGAGTCATAATCACCCTGCCATATCAGGATGGCTTTTTTTTTTTTTGAGTATTTTATATTATATTATATTATACCCAGGGGTTCTCTACCACAGAGACACATCCCCAGCCATTTTGTTTATTTGTTTATTTTTTATTTTGCAACAGGGTCTTGTTAAGTTGCTCAAGGCCTAAGTGTCTGAGGTTGGCTTCGAACTTGCAATCCTGCTGCCTCAGCCTCCTGGGTCACTGGGATGATTGATGGGTGTGTGCCACTGTACCTGGTTCAGGCTGACTTTTGCTGGGACCTAAAAATCATAGGGGGATCTCTGATGGTCATAAAAGAAGGTCTCATTTTGTACAGCCCAGCAAGGTACATTTGCGAGTATGAAATGTTGGCTCAAAGCAAGTTAATAATGCCAGTATTTCTGTAACCTAAGCTATCAAACCCCTTCCCTATGGTAACTGTGGAACAATGTAGCACTGTGGAGGAGACAAGGGCTC